CTTGTAGCTACTGTGATTTGAGTTTGAGTTGAGATATCAGAAAGTCGGGTTCGCCGCATCTGGTTTAGTCGCGGCATTTAGTGTCGTCGCCTTCGGGCTTTGTTGAGATCGTTCCACACCTCTAGCTTGGCAGTGCGTCGACTAGAGGTGCTCGGGTTGTTTTGGTCAGTTGGCAGTGCGTCGACTTGAGAACTTTGGTTCCACACTTCTTGCTTGGCAGTGCGTCGACAAGTTGTGCTCGGGTTTTGGACATTGGATATTGGCTGTTAGTTGGCAGTGCGTCGACGCGGCATCTTGGTTTACTAGTTGGCAGTGCGTCGACTCAGTACTTTTGGTTGTGTCAGTTGGCAGTGCGTCAACTTGACATTTTGGTTCTACTAGTTGGCAGTGCGTCGACTCAGTATATTGGTTGTATCAGTTGGCAGTGCGTCGACTTGATATTTAGGCTTTGCGTCGCCATCTGGACGCTGTCGCTACAAGGGATCTTAATACTTCATATTAAGCTCTGACTTGTTATATTGTTGTTGTGGATTGGATTAGTGTTGGTTGTGGTCGTATAGAAGATATTGGTTGAGACACCATTGTTTGCTATATATATATATCCTTGTCGTCGACTCCGTCTCCGCGACTATTGGATCTGCGTCTATTGAGAGTTGTGATACTGGTGCTCTGTCCACCCCGAAGCCCTCGCATCTTTCACACACTGAGAAGCTGATTACGAGGAGTGTGAACGTGTTTATATTTGGGTTTACTTTCATAGTAGATTCACTTGTGAGCACGCCCTCAGCATTTCACCGGACTGTCAGATGCCATGATCCGTAATAAGATAATCCATGCCAAGATAAGATAAGATCGTCAATGATAAGATGAAAAAAGGGCTGAACTATGACACTAATAATCAAAATAAATTAGGATCCAGAGCCTCCGTGTGCATGTGCCGGAGGCTTCCCAAAAAGGCAGCTTAGTCAGAAAAGGACTATGCCCCACCCCAATCTGGTTGCTATCTCATGGGAAAAAAATTGGTCCATCCATTTCAATCAATAAGCAATATACTTCATTATTGCAACTGATAGCAATTACATAGATTTACCACGCTATAATTTAGGCTATGAGTGGCAACTAATAAAGCCAAAAGATCTTTGTGAGGGGGTTACGACTGCCCCCAAATCTGCCCAGCACCATTGAGATAACTTCTAAATGCCTCAAAAAGATATCTCTTGGGGTACAATTGTGGGGTGTCTAAGGTGCCTGCAGTGTAACCAGCTTTTAATCTTTTAAACTTTGGTTGTGTGTCATAGTTTGGCCACTTTTTCATCTTATCATTGACAATTATATCTTATCTCAGCCTGGGTTATCTTATCACGGATCATGGCATCCAATGGTCCAGGCTGGGGGTCCAGGGGATAATCTTTATTGATTTGAGGCTGTGCAACATATGCTCCGGAAGGTTCTACTACGACCCATGACCTGTGCTCCATGCAGTACATAGCCTTATGACTCATTAGTTGTAGATATGACTCAGACTGGATTTGGGTATAAATACTGTAGCTACTTGGTTGTATTCTCCAGTCTTTGAATTCACTTCTCTTTTCCACATCATTTCTTGTTGATTGTCACACCTATCATGGTTGCCAGTTGGAAGTACTCCAGGCAACGGAAGGTTGCGCAAGTGTCAGGATCTTGTGTTGTTGCTGGAAACCATTTGTTACACAGTAAAGCCTGGACAGGGGACGCTTGTTCACAGGCCTCGCAGCCACATTGCTGGTACGTCACTTGATGGATCCCATTGATGTCAATGACTACCATTGTTTGCAGTAGTGGATCAGGGAGGTAGCAGGGGCCACCACGGTGACCGAGTTGGTAACAAGTCCCAATTCATGGAGTGTCGCTGACTTCCAGAAGGTACCGGTCCATGTCTTGGGATCAACTGTGAGTAAAGGACATGTATGCAGAATTGTAAGAGCAAAAAACACCGTGACAACATGCAGAGGAGCTTGCTGGTGTCTTTTGAGTCTGCACTCTGCACAGAAAAGTATGTCGCCACAGTCTGTGCAGCACAGAATCCCAAGGCTGGGATTATCAGGTGATTCCCACCCACAGCCACACTCTGCACAAGCTAGGCCTTCCAACGGACCTCCCAACCCTGCAGCACGCAGAATCTCCTAGGGAAAGAGTTCCTGAACTTCACAGAAATTGACCATGGGGTTATTCTGACACGGGTTAGTTGAGTAGACACTCCAAACAACAATGACTCATGGAGCTCTGGTAGTACCAGCCTTTTCAAGGGTTGGGCAAAATTAAGTCCAAGGACTCCTCCAAATCCGGTGATATCTTGTTGGGTTGTTGTACCAGCATCCATTTGGCAAGGGAATCAGAGAGCTTGCTGGTTTTGAGCATGACAACACAACGTCTCTTGCTGAAGTGGACATTGGTGAGAGTTTGACAATGTCTTTGTGACAATCAACCCAAAAACAAAGTCGAAAAGAGAAGTGAATTCGAAGACTGGAGAATACAACCAGATAGCTACAGTATTTATACCCAAATCCAGTCTGAGTCATATCTACAACTAATGAGTCATAGGGCTATGTACCGCATGGAACGCTGGTCATGGGTTGTAGTAGAGCCTTCCGGAGCATATGCCGCGCAGCCTTGAATCGATAGAGATAACCCCTGGAACCCCTAGCCCGGACCGTCTGATGCCGTGATCCGTGATAAGATAAGATCGCCGATGATAAGATGAAAAAGAGTCGAATTATGACATTACCCCCTCTCTAGGGTCAATGTCCTCATCGACTAGGCCGATAGGCGTGAAGACGTTTTCGTAGGGATCGAAGAGTTGTTGCTGGGGATATGGAAGGCGCTTGTCTTTGGGTTTGTAGCGATGGATGAGGTAATCCCAATGTCTGGCTTTGAGAGTTGGCAGGAGGCAAATGCGTGTGTCTGGGTTGGATTGTTTCCTCTGCCAATCTCTCAGGACCTTCTTCGCGTGGGTAAGGTGACGTGATGGTTCCCAGGTGTTCTCGCTGTACGGCCATCCCTTCCATTTGACCAAGTACTGTTTTCCTCGGCCGACGTTTTGCTCTTTCACGATTTCTTCGACTTCCCACTCTTCTGCTCCTCCGATCATCTTGGCTACAGGCCTCTTCTCTCGGCGATGGGGGGGTGGTTCGTGATAGGGTGTCAACAGTGACTCGTTGAACACTGGATGTCTTCGGTCCATGTCCGGCAAATCCAGTTTCCATGCAGCCGCTCCAACCTTCTCCAGTATCTCGTATGGCCCTAATCTCTTGTCGCTCATCTTCTTTGATGGTCGATCTGTCTCGATATTTTCCCCTTCTATGTATACCTTCATCCCAACCTTCAACTCTGGAACCTCTTTTCTTTGTTTATCGTAGTATTTTTTCATTTTTTCATTTGCTTTTTCTAGTGCTGCTTTTGCTTCGTCTTGTATTTCTTTGATTCTTTTTACAAATTCTTCCGCCGACTCGTTTCTCGACTCCATCCGTTGCTCCACTCCCTTCCATGGGTGATATCCGTGATTCGCATAGAACGGCGATATTTTGGTAGACGTGTTCATCTTGTCATTGTATGCGAACTCTGCCATTCCCAGCCACTCCGACCAGTCCGTCTGATGGTAATTGACGTAGATGCGGAGATAATGCTCAATCTCCTGATTCATGCGTTCTGTCTGCCCATCCGTGATTGGGTGATATGCGGTCCCCGGGTTCATTTCCACGCCCAACATCTGATTTGTCTCCCTCATGAAGCCCTTGATGTAACGCGAATCCCTGTCGGTGATGATCTTGCGAGGGATCCCGTGGTAGCGGAAAACTCGGTCCCTGGTTAATCGTGCGACTCCTTCACTGCTGATGTCAGTACTAATTGGTTCAACATGGATCATTTTGGTGAAGGTGTCACACCACACATGAATGGTGTCATACCCATTACTGACTGGCAAGGGTCCGATTTGATCCATTGAGATGATTTCCCATGGTGCGTTTGGAACTGCATGCGGATGCAGAGTCCCCGTCCTTGCTCTTCTGGTCTTGGTCCGTTGGCACGCCTTGCACGTCTGGATGTATTTTCGAATTTGGTTTCCCATCCTTGGCCACCAGTAGTTCCTTTCCACCATTTCCTGCGTTTGGTTGATCCTGGCGTGTCTGACCAAAGGCGTGTTGTGGTGTAGCCCAATGATCTTGTCCCGCAGCTCCTTGTCCCTTGGTATGTAGAGCTTCCCATGGTATGTGATGAGCCCATCTTCCTTCTTCCATCCGACGAGGGACTTCTCTAAGGCCGCCTTGACGCTTCCATCAATTGATCGAATGGCCTTGATTTCATCGATTAGCTGCTGATCCTGTCCCTCGAATGTGACTTCTTGTGATCGGAAGAACTTGGGCTTCAGTAGCGTGACGTCCTTGTTGTCGTTCTTGCCCTGATCGTGATCTGCTCGTCGAGACAGGAGATCCGCCTTGCGGTTGAGTGCGCCGGGTCGGTGTCGTAAGGTGAAATCAAACTCCGCCAACTCCGTGATCCATCGTGCTTGCCGTCAATTGAGCTTCTGCGGCTTCCAGAAGTACTCAAGATTCTGATGATCAGTGAAGATCTCGAACGTCTCCGTGGCTCCCAGTAGTAGCTGTCTCCATTCGTCCAATGATAGCATGATTGCAAGCATTTCCTTGTCGTAGATCTCGTAATTTCGCTCGGTTTCGGTCAGTGCGTGCGAAATAAATGCGATTGGGCGCCAGATGCCGTCTTGGTTTTGGCTCAAAACTGATCCTGTTGCCCCTTCCGAAGCATCGGCTTCCAGACGATATTGGCCAGTGTCATTTGGCAGTGCTAGGACCGCATCCTCCGCGATTCTCTTCTTCAATCCATCAAATGCTGCATGCTCATCCAGACCCATGACCATCCTGCCTTTCCTGTCAGCCGCGTCAACAGCTTGGTGACCTCTGCATATCCCGGACAAATCGTCAATAGAAATTGGTGAACCCCAGGAATGCTTAGACCTGTTTGATGCTCTTTGGTTTGGGCCATTCCATCACGCCCTTGATCTTGACTGGGTCCATCCACATCGAATTGTGTCCAATAATTACACCCAAATATTCGATTTCCGTGCGTTCGAACTCGCACTTTTCAGGCTTCAGGTATAGCTTGTGTTTCTGGAGCAATTCGAGCACTCGTTTCGTGATTCGCCGATGTTCGTCCAAGTTTTCTGTGAAGATCAGTATATCGTCCAGATAGACTACCACGTGACCCTCGTTGATCAACTCTCGGAGTATGTCGTTCATCATGTTTTGGAACGTTGCCGGGGAATTTGTGAGACCGAAGAACATAACTAAGGGCTCGTACAGCCCTCGGTTCGTGCGGAATGCAGCCTTCCACTCGTCGCCCTCTTTGATCCGTACATTGTTGTACCCCCACCGGATGTCAAGTTTCGTGAAGAACTTGGCGCCACATAGATTATGGAATAGTTCGGATATCAGCGGCAGCGGGTATCGATTCCGAATCGTCATCTCATTCAGCTTCCGATAGTCTTGGACGGGGCGTAGGGAGCCATCCTTCTTCTTGACAAAGAAGAATGCTGATGCCATGGGTGATTTTGATGGCCTGATCCGTCTACTGGCCAAGTTCTCTTGTAAGAATTCGTCGAGTTTGACTTGTTCATTGCGTGATAACGGGTACACCTTGCAGTCCACTGCCTTGGAACCAGGTTTGAGCTCGATTGCGTGATCCCATGCCCGTCGGTCTGGTAGCGAGTCAAACGATTCCTTGGCAAATACTTTGACAAATTCCCGATATTGATCCGGAATCTTCCCCTCGGTCATCCTCTCCTTCTCTTTTTCCGCTTCTTCTGCGAATTTCTGCGCCGGCGTTTCCTTCAGCCGCAGATCCACTTCCTTCCCAAAATCGACCAACAGGATCGATTCTCCCTCTTCCAGATCCGGCGTGCCCGTGTCCAGGTCGATTGCATCCATGTCAATCATTGCTTGATGTTCCTCGTGACCCCTCATGTGACACCGCTCTGGGCATCGGCTGAATCTCATGGTCTGCTCCTGCCAATCCACCTCGGGGTTATGTTCCGTCAGCCAATCAAGACCAATGAAGATCCGAGCTTTCCCTAAACACGTCAGAAGGAACGTGCGTGTCTCCACGTGAGGGCCGATTCTCATCCTTAGGTCAACGTAATGCGTGATCCGACCGCTGATGTTCTCGGTATTGTCGGCGTTACGGGCCACAATGGGTTGTGGAAGCTCTTGAATATCCAACTTCTCCGTCCGTGCGTAGTCGGTATCGATGCAACAGGTACTGCAGCCGCTATCGAGCAGCGCCTTGACTCCGCGCATTTTCCCTGAGTCTAGACCCGTGATCTGGACATATACGTCCATCAAATGTCTCTTCCTTTCGGCCTGGTAGTCGCGCAATTCCTGCGCCAGTCTGCCAGGCTGCGGGCCCTTCTGTCTCTCGGCCGCCAATTTCCTTTGAACGGCATCTGGCACCCTTGTGCGTTTGGGTACTTCTGGAACCTTGATTTCGGCGGGTTCCTTAGGCGCTTCCTCCTTTTCCAAGGATTGAGCCTTCGGAGCGATGCTCCCCTTTTCGGTCTTTGTTGACGTGGTTCCTTCTCCATGAGCCATAAATACGTATGAATCCAAAATTAATTTATCTGCAGCTTTCTGATCCTTTTTACTCTGTAAATATTCCCTATTTAAAGCTATTTTTCTTTGGCGTTCTTTTTCCATATCGGCCATGAGAAAATCGTGAATATTGGTACATAGTGAGTCCGAGATTGTGTATGTATGTGCAGAATCGTTCATGTCTTTAATCGAAACAAGTACAGAAAATTGTCCATAGTCCGGACGCTCCACCTCCTTGGCTAGAGGAGTGGAGCGCTTCAAAAACCCTTCTCGCGCAGCTTCTCGGCAATCTCCTTGAGGAACTCGTTGTCCTTATCCCCGTTCTCGATCTCTTCCAGCATCGTGGCCCGATTGAAGAACGTGCGCTTCTTCTTGGGCTCCGGACAATTCCGCGCGATGTGCCCAGGCTGCTGACAGTTGTAGCAGATGATATTGCGGCCGCGGGCCTGGGTCCGATCGATTTCCATCGGGACTGGTTTGTTGGCAGCCGGCCGGGTCGGGGCAGGCGTGGGCGCCGCTGGTGCTGTCTGGGGGCGGAATTGGGGAGGCGGTCGTGGTGCGGATTGCGCATGCGATGCTTTGCGCAGCTGATCGCGTAGAGCGTTTGCCTCGATGTTGGCGCACCAGTTCTTGAAGGCACCATATGCCTTGGGCAGGGGAACACCAGTGTTGTAGAGGCGGCTTGCAATTTCGCTGCTGAGTCCGCGCTCCAGGAACTCGATGAGGATATTGTCCTGTTCCCCCTTCTTGTACTCGCCCTTGCTGTCGGTGGTGGTGACCACGTTGTACCCCGCGTCTGCAGCCAGCATTTTGAAGTCGGAAATGTAGTCCGCAAAGGACCGTCTGCCCTGGCGAAGGGCCATGAGTCGGGCGGCAGCGACTTGCTCTGCGTTAGAATCCCCAAAGGCCCTCTGAAGCTCCTCCAAGAAGCTTGTTGCGGTGACTCCCGCCTTCAGTCCTTGGAAGCCCTCGAAATTGTGCTGCTTCCAGTTCATCGCCCATCTTGAAGCGGCGCAGCTTGTGCCGCTCTCATTGCAGAGGTAGGACAGGACGAAGAGGATTTTTGTTTCGTCCAGCGAGAACTCTGACCGATAGGCACCGATGTAAGTGGTGCACGCATCCACAAAGCCCAGGTACTTGGACTTGTCGCCATCGAAGTAGGGAGGACTGGCGGCGAGGGTGATGCGGTGGTGTCCTGACATGGTAGGAGCAGGTGCAGTAGGTGGGGGCAAGGGTGGTTGTTCGGAGGGTAACTCGCCAAGATCGGGGAATTCGTCTTCGGGCGGTGGAAGGGCGAGGTAGGGGTTGGAGGGCCCGGGTTGGTTTTGATGCGCCAGATCGGGCGACGATGGTATGATGGGGGGAGGGGATGGACTCCCAGATGACGATGGGAATCGGTACGAAATGGTGGATTTGTGTGCTGTACAAGCACTCGAGGAAAGGTTCTTTTGCTAGCAAAAAGATCCCGGGCCTAGCTCTTCACGTGCCCAATGATCCCGAGGTGCGTTTTCCCGAAGGTCTCCGCAGCACTCCTTGTAGCTACCGTAAGGCTTGGGTTGGGCTCAACGTTACCCATGGCCTGGTGCTGTTTGCTCGATATGAACCCTTCACTGCGATCGCAGAGAACGACTAGATGATTCGGTAAAAGGGTAAGTGGGGTGATAAGGGTGAAGAGGATATAGCGGGCGTAGCGGTGCGGGATGCAGGGTAAGAGGTATGAGGTAGGAGGGTATGAGGGGAGTCTTCAAATTATGTGACAATCAACCCAAAAACAAAGTCGAAAAGAGAAGTGAATTCGAAGACTGGAGAATACAACCAGATAGCTACAGTATTTATACCCAAATCCAGTCTGAGTCATATCTACAACTAATGAGTCATAGGGCTATGTACCGCATGGAACGCTGGTCATGGGTTGTAGTAGAGCCTTCCGGAGCATATGTTGCGCAGCCTCGAATTGATAGAGATAACCCCTGGAACCCCTAGCCCGGACCGTCTGATGCCGTGATCCGTGATAAGATAAGATCGCTGATGATAAGATGAAAAAGAGTCGAATTATGACAGTCTTCTCCCGTCATCAGAGATGCAAAAATTTGCATCACCCAACTGCACACTGTCATGGATGCCCTTGCCCTTGATGGAAACAGAAATGTTGAGTGTGATGTCCTTGTGCTGCAAAGCAACCTTCAACTTCTTCTTGGCCATGTCTGCACTAAATTTGGGAAGGGTAAAAAAACTAATACTAGTATGAAACTGGCTCCAAGCTAATCTATATCCCTGGCAACTGATCCACATGCCTGGGAATGCCACACGTGTGATGAGGGCATGAGTTTATGTGAGACACAGTGTCTTGCAAAGCTGTTATAGATTTATGCACTCTGGAATCAAACTGAGCGAGAGTGATATTGGAGCGCTGCGGCTTTGAGATGCTTGGATTGCATAGTGAAACCAGTGTTCTATGAAGCGTTCAAATATTGAGGCTACAGAAGCTCACACAGGCCCGTATTTGATCTGTTAGTCTCCTCACTTTCTCAAATTGAATCCCTTTCTGTTGTCAGGGGACGCCACACTCCTTGAGCACATGACCATGCACGTGACCCACTGTGCCCTCCCTGCTGACCCGTGCCTGCTCACCTGTTGATCACCCAGCCTCCTCCTCCTCCTCCAATCCTCATCTCCATCCATGCCAATGTCCGCCCTCTTCCTCCTTCCCCTGGCCATCTCCCTCGAATCCCCGCAAGCGGTCTAGCCAAGCCCAATTCCTTGCACCAGGGAGTGCTACTGCCGTCGCACTCCTCCCCCTTCACTTCAGCCTTCTCCCCACGGATGTGGTCTACTGCCGTACAGGCTTGTACCAGATGCCCTTGCGCTCATCCGCACCACCCCTCTTCCCAGTTGGGCATTGGTCCTCGCCTCCGATGTCTCCACTGGCCGGCCCGGCACTGGCCTGGCCACTGGGCTCCTCCAGTGTGGCCTTCCACTGTTGGTGTCTCAGGAGCTGGCCATTACTGGCCCCTCTGAGCCACTCACTATCTTATCTGGGTTTGTCATTATCTACTTGTCATCTGCCATTGTTCCATGGCAGTGATATCCCATCATTATCAGTCACTTGTCACAGCTGACTATATAGTGTGACATCTGGGCATATGGATCCTTGAACCATTCTCTAAGGATCCCCCTCTGTGCTCAGACTCATGTGAGGTTGTTGTGTGCTGTGTGCTCTCTTCCTTCGGGCTGGCAGGAGTTGCCCTTACAGTGACGCAAATGCTTTGCCAGTGCATTGGTGAGAAACAGAGAGATTGGGTGGCCAAAGTCCCTGCTGTCGAGTTTGCAATCAATTCAGCGCACTCTGAGTCAACTGGATACTCACCTTTCTTTCTGAACACGGGCATGATGCCCCAATCACTGATCTGGGATTCGGATTGCACTCACGAATATCTGGGAATTCCAAATTTCATGCTCCAACGACGCCTCGCTGTGATAGCGGCACATGATGCAATCATCGCCGCACACGTCAAGCAGACTCGAAATGCCAATAGGAAGCATCAGCCCGAACTGTTCGCACAAGGGGACTTGATTTACCTATCCACGAAGAACATCAAGTTCGAAAAGGGATTGGCTCAAAAGCTGATCCCAAAATATATTGGTCCTTATCTGATCACTCAGGACTTTGGAAATTTGTTGTTCAAGGTGGACTTACCTCCAAAGCTGAAGCAATGTGGAGTGCATGACGTCTTTCATGCCTCCCTGCTGCGTGTACATATCCTGAATGATGATCGTTGCTTCCCAGGTCGCCTGGAAAGCCAGCTCAATATTACCTCCGATGCCAGTGCTCAAGAGTGGGCCGTAGATCGAATTCTGAGCCATTCGGGAAGCCGGAGGCGCGCTCTATTTGAAGTTCAATGGAAGTCTGGTGATCTCATATGGATGCCTTACCAACAGGCAAGCCATCTAAATGCTATGAAGGAGTACTTTGAGGTCCTAGGCATATCTGATGTAAATCAGCTCACTGTCGGGCAGGGGACGCCACCCCAAAATGACACCGAGATCTTGGCAAGTGGGGCCGTCCTCCACGTCAGAGCCATGGGCCCCAACACTGCGACAATTTTTAGTGAAATAAATGAGAATTCATTCGCCAGTGAAGAACTCACCTGGTTGTTCCCCCCGTCATGCCTTACAACAATGAGAATCTGTTCTGCGATCCGTCGTCCTACGGCGCAACGCGCCCGTTGAACCAACTCAGCCGCAAATACCACGAGTTCAACAACACGTACCGTGATATCCTCCTTCATCAGGACCCCGGCATGTTCATCTACACGGACGCCAACGACTTTGATTGAGCTCTCCCAGCAAGCCTTGTGCAAGTCTATGTGGTTTATAATCAGTTTGGAAACCACCCAAAGACAAACAAAGAACGCATCCCAAATATGCCCATTCACTACATAGACTGGGCCAACCATATGAACAAGCGCTGCCCAAACAGTTTCAAGTGGGGATGGCTCGACAGTGCCACGGAAGATGGATGGCACTACGCTGAAGGCAGGATCGCCTTGGTTTGAGACTTCGGCGTCGCAGACAGCCAAATCCACTTGTTCGAGGTGCCAGAAGGCAAGATGCTCGTGGACAAGGGCGATTGGGACATTGGGGTCGAGTCAATGACATTGCGATTGAGATCGCAGAAGAGAGCCCACGAGCACAGATTCCAGGAGCGTGAGACAAAGCGTGCAAGAAAGAGCATCTTGACGAACAAAGACTGGCACCTGGAGTTTCGTTGCCAGAAAAACGCGAAAGCGGTAGTGAATGCGCGTGCAAGTCAGACGCGTAGCCAGCCGGACGAACCCACAGCCAAAGCGGCCAGCACCAGTGCCCCAGAGCCCACTGAGGACGAGGCCATGTATTGAGAAATAGAAGGCAGGAGACCACCGCGTGACGTCGATCTGGAGGGCGTGTGTAACAGACAAATCTTTATCTTATCTTTTATCACACAGCCGCACTTTTTTATTATATATACAGATGATGTAGTAGACAGGGCGGCAGTGAATCTAGCTTATAACAGTCATCTCTAGCTTTGCTAAAACGCTCTCGTGTGCCGGAACTCAATCCTACTTGCTTCCGTCACACTGGGCCTGTCTGATCACCTTGCACGGCTGAAGTTTGCTTGGCAAGCGAGCAAAGAGAGCACGGACCACCTCAGAGGCAGTGTCAATCTTGTCCAGCAGTTCTAGAACTCAGACAAGTCAGCTGATGAGACGGCTCATGCAAATGAGATGTACCATGATCTGTGGCAAGCTCAGTCGTGGTCAACGTGCAAGCCATTGAGGTGAGAGCATTGATGTCAATGGTGACATCAACATGAGTGAGAGCTTTTTGAGCTGTGATTTTGCTTGTCAGTAGCAGACTGAGAGACAGAAGTAGAAATACGCCCCGTAGTCAAGAACACTGGCAGGGACTACACAAGAGCAAGAGCAATGCAAATCAAGTAGATAAAATGATACACCAATGTGAATCTCTGTGAATGTTGACATGAGCACATCAAATTGACTCACCTAGACTTTTATTTTTTCCCTGCCCATATCCAAGACATGGCAACACAAATTCCAAAGAGTATTTGATATGGCACATGTGGTACACAGTTTCCGCTGAGGCTGAAGTTGAATCTGACCCTTGATATAGCAAAGAAACAGTCTAAGAAGACGGCAAAGTTGAACTCAGAGCGGAGGAGCCTGAAATTTTGGGCACAGGGTGTTTGGGAGGATGAGATTTTGGCCCCGCATATACAAAGATACCAAGATGCGCTAGAGCGGGGCCAATGTGCTGAGGCAGCATATCTCCAACATGTCTGTCATGAATACCATGCTCAGGTGCCATGGCAGACCCATGACAACAAAGAGCCTCCTTTGCCCCTGCCAGCGTATGTCAGGGGAACCCCTGCTTTTGTCCAATCATCATAGGATCTTGCAGGTGACCGCGCACATGCCATCTGTCAGGTGTCACATGCTTTGGTCCAGACTTCCCTGCCAAGTGTGTCCACATGACAACTCCGGCCCGGATCCCCATTGTTCCGACGGTCCGGCTCCCATTGTTCTCTCTGATTCGGCCCCTCATTGTTCCCTGGCCCCATTGCCTGGCGCCTCCATTGTGCTTGGTCATCCATTGTCTTGTAGGCTATATATAGTGGGCCCTGACAAGGAGAGTTCCCAACTCGGGCTCTCTTTGGACTCTCCCTTGTCAGGTTTGCCAGTCCCCTGTATTAGTTGATCCCTTTATCTGACGCTTTGGACTCTCTCTTGTCAGGACTCTGAGATCGGGCCTCAAGGTTGCCCTTACAGTGTATGACCCACGTGCACCTGTGGTCAAGGAGGTCCTTGAGGAGCACGAAAAGCCCATTTGCTGTCATAATTTGACCCTTTTTCATCTTACCATCAACGATCTCATCTTGGCACAGATTATCTTATTACGGATCACGGCATCTGACAGTCCGGGCTAGGGGGTCTGGGGGATTATCTTTATCGATTCAAGGCTGCGCAACGTATGCTCCAGAAGGTTCCACTACAACCCATGACCAGTGCTCCATGCAGTACATAGCCTTATGACTCATTAGTTGTAGATATGACTCAGACTGGATTTGGGTATAAATACTGTAGCTACTTGGTTGTATTCTCTAGTCTTTGAATTGACTTCTCTTTTTGACATTATTTCTTGTTGATTGTCACATTTGCGCTGCCCGGAAGCAAGAGCTCAATAAGGTGCATCGAGTGATGTGATCAATGACCACAGTGACTAATCTGGCTGCTCTCTCCCACAGCGTATTCACTGATGGCTTGTCTGTTGTGCTAAGAAAATCAGTGCTATGACAGCCAGGGGCAAGGGCACTGAGGGCCCATTCATGCTCCTACTTGCCCAGCTCACTGACCTCACTCCACCCTCAAAAGCTTGCTCCGGACCTCAGCAGCTTATGCATGACAACTACGACACTCTAGTAGCAGAAACTGCTGAAGCCAAATGGCTGGCTGCATGGAAAGATTGGAGGAAGCAGAGAAAGGTTAAGTGGAAAGGGAAGCGGAAGATGGGGCAGGATTTGGATATTGGTGTCAAGCTGGATTCTGATTCCCTTGATCCCATTGCTGACTCCGATGACACAAAGCTGCCAAATGTACCCATTTGGTTCAAGTCAAAAACCGCAGACAAGATCTTCAGGATGATGTCAACGGCCAAGAAGAAGATGTACACAGATTGAGCAACGGCCAATAAAAATGCTTGTGTTGCGTTGTTTGTTGATGCTATGGAGAATTCGTCACAGAAACCAGTTGACCGTCAGCAGAACGTGAATACTGTTCCCATCGCTTTTTACATGTCACTGATCAATATGCACAGGTGTATCAACGCTCTACCAGTGTTTATGGGCTGGATTCTCAAGGGCATCTTGGATTGGACAGGGCTCCATGGGACTGTGACCTTTGCCAGCCCAATTCCCAAGTACAACGGCAAACTTTGGACAGTCAGGTGAGTTATCAGATGTAGTACTATGCAGATGAAGCTGACATGACATCCAGTGTTGCATTCAGCTGAACAATCGACACTGGTTTGCATATCAACAACTGGGCCAGAGCCTGATGGGATACCCAGTGGCTGAGCCTGGTGCACAAGTACATGAATGATGCATTCAGTCGTATTGGACTCGAAGATGTGGTGCCAGTGACTGACTATCTGTGCAGCAAACAAGGACGTAGAGAAGGCTTTGCTAAATTGAATGCTAGACAGCGCACTGTTTGCCTTTGACCCAGACGTGGAGATCGCCATAAAGGAGGGCCTGTCAGATCATGACAGCAACAATTCAGACTCAGACTCTGACACTGACTCCAATACAGACTCGGGTGATGAAGCACCCGTGAAGAACAAGCGGAAGCAGCCTGATTCCATCCTAGCAGCAGAACCTGCTTCCACCAGCCAGAAGCTGTCTGTGAAGAAGCGAAATTTGACCACTGCACCTGCTGCACCCGCAGACATACCAGCATCCAGTTCAGTGTCAAGTGCCCCAGTACCATCACCTGGCATGGCGAGATCAAGGGTGTCTGCACTTGTGCCTCTATCCCAACTTACACCTCCCACACCATTGCCTGGCATGGCGGGATTGAGGGTGTCTGCACCTGTGCCTCCATCCTGACTTACGCCTCCCGCACCTGACTCTCCACCTCCTCCCCCCAACTCTCTGCCTCCTGCACCTAACTCTCCACCTCCCGCACCGGACTTGGCATTGCAACCCGTTTCACCCCCACCCATCTCAGCATCTCAACCTGCGTCACCCCAACCCGACTCTGTATTCGCTGAAATGCTGAGGGCGTGCTCACAGGTGAATCTACTATGAAAGTGAACCCAAGTATAAACATGTTCACACTCCTCGTAATCAGCTTCTCAGTGTGTGAACAATGCGAGGGCTTCAGGGTGGACAGAACACCAGTATCACAACTCTCAATAGACGCAGATCCAATAGTCGTGGAAGACAAAGTCGACGACAAGAATTTATATATAGCAAACAATGGTGTCTCAACCAATATCTTCTATATAGTCAAATCCAACACTGGTCCAACCACAACCAACAATATCACAAGTCAGAGCTTAATACAAAGTATTAAGATCCCTTGTAGCGACAGTGTCCAGATGGCGATGCAAAGTCCAAATATCAAGTCAACGCACTGCCAACCAATACAACCAATATACTGAGTTGATGCACTGCCAACCAGTAGAACCAAAAATGTCAAGTTGACGCACTGCCAACTGAGACAACCAAAGTACTGAGTCAATGCACTGCCAACTAGTAAAACCAAAATGCCGCGTCAACGCACTGCCAACTAACAGCCAATATCCAATGTCCAAAACCCAAGCACAACTTGTTGACGCACTGCCAAGCAAGAAGTGTGGAACCAAAGTTCTCAAGTCGACGCACTGCCAACTGACCAAAACAACCCGAGCACAACTAGTCGATGCACTGCCAAGCTAGATGTGTGGAAAACAATCTCAACAAAGCCCAAAAGGCGACGACACTAAATGCTGCGACTAAACCAGATGCGGCGAATCCGACTTTCTGATATCTCAACTCAAACTCAAATCACAGTAGCTACAAGTGCTCAGGGAGCAACTTGTCGCGACCGGGCAGGGGTGGCAGAACTTCTTAGGGTGGAATCACGCGGCACGCAAATTGTACAAAACAATCTGAAATGAGAGTGATTCACAGTCTGGGGGAAAAGCTTCCTAATACAAAGAAACAACGTGCTACTTATACTATGTACGACAATGCTTAGTAAAGTCCTTTACAACTGCATAGTAGCTACGCTATCTAAGATTGGTTGCTTTTTATGGTAATGAAAAAGTTGAACAATTGGACAGGTCCTGACTGATCAGGACCCCACCCCATTGTCCATATGGTACTTTTGATGTGGGTCAACCCACCGCATCATACTTTTGGAATACAACGTGCTGTATTGGCCAACGGGTATGTCTTGGCAGGTGAGGCCAACGTGGGCGCCCCAAGAAGCCGTATGGCCCTAGGCACGCCAGTCGTTCCCCACATGGCTCGGTTCACGGATCTAGCCGTGTCGGTCTTAGTGTATTTGGGTATGGGCGCGACTTGCCGTGACACTTGGAAGTGTCACCGCAACGCGTCCACAATGTCCCATGATCGAATGGATCCTGACATGTGACAAGTCGTTGCCGTGGCATGATCTGAGGAAACGTCCAACCCAAAACCAGGAGTTGCCGCGACAAGATCAGTTCAATCTTGTAACGCCAAGTCCTGTCCAGTAGTAGTTGTATTATTGAGAACGTCGCACATTGCTCAGCCCTTCAGCCCAAGTTCCCATCTGCAGAGAATGACCCTTTTAGAGAAGTCGTCGCAACAAAGATCCCTTTTGGGGAATTGTCGCGGTCCAAGCGTTTGTCACTAATAGCCCTGAGCCTGGTATAGACTCATAAGACCAATTCCACAGTAGTGGTCTGACTGCCTTGCTATCGTCGACACTATCCACAGTCGTTGACTGGGCAGTAGACCTTTCAGTCCTACTGAGCGCAACACTGTCAACCATGACACAATACACCGGATGGTTTAAGAGTAAACTCTGTAAAAGCACAAAAATACGCCCTTATAGAGCTGGTGCAGAGTGCGTCTGGTAGCCAGCCTATCAGCGGCTAGAGGCAGTGTTTGGGTTCTTTGGCGAGAAGTATCATGCACCTGTGCCGACCAAGTCCCAGCCAGTGGCATTGGAGAAATGGGTCACAAATAAGGGCACAGAGCTTCCAAAGATCAAGAGGAGCAAGACCTTTGCGACAAAGTGGAGAGCATGGGGGCAGAGCCTACAACCAGATTGGTGGGTGCTGGACTCCTTGGGGCAGTATGCAAAGGGCGGAGATGTGCTGTATGGCAAAAATACGGAGTGGGGTGACCTAGATAGTCCTGGTCCCGAGGGTGCCTTGACGCTTGTGGCAGGGCTTGCTACCTGGGGCTCGGCCTTGAAAGATGGACCAGAGTTGGACTCAGAGTGGCTGGATGCCATGATGGATGTTTTGTGGATATGGGAAGGATTGATTTTATCAATGAAGAAGTAGACCCTGGAAGCAATATTTGATGCAGAATGATGAACGGGGCCCGCAACATAGGCAAGTGTAGGGTACCCAATATGGATATTGAGCAAAACAGCTCAATTGGCTGCCATCAGCCTCAACAATGGCTGATTTGATGGCTCGATTCACTGACACCTATTGATGGCATCCAGAGCCATAGAGTGCACGTGCACTGTAAGGGCAACTCCTGCCAGCCCGAAGGAAGAGAGCACACAGCACACAACAACCTCACATGAGTCTGAGCACAGAGGGGGATCCTTAGAGACTATCAAATACAAGGGAGGTATACTACTCACCTGAGCACAGAGGGGGATCCTTAGAGAACGGTTCAAGGATCCATGTGCCCAGGTGTCACACTATATAGTCAGCTGTGACAAGTGACCGATGATGATGGGATATCACTGCCATGGAACAATGGCAGATGACAAGTAGATAATGACAAACCCAGATAAGATAGTGAGTGGCTCAGAGGGGCCAGTGATGGCCAGCTCCTGAGACACCAACAGTGGAAGGCCACACTGGAGGAGCCCAGTGGCCAGGCCAGTGCTGGGCCGGCCAGTGGGGACATCGGAGGCGAGGACCAATGCCCGACTGGGAAGAGGGGTGGTGCGGATGAGCGCAAGGGCATCTGGTACGAGCCTGTACGGCAGTAGACCACATCCGTGGGGAGAAGGCCGAAGTGAAGGGGGAGGAGTGCGTACGGCAGTAGCACTCCCTGGTGCAAGGAATTGGGCTTGGCTAGACCGCCTGCAGGGATTTGAGGGAGATGGCCGGGAGAAGGAGGGAGAGGGCGGATGTCGGCATGGATGGAGATGAGGATCGGAGGAGGAGGAGGAGGCTGGGTGATCGACAGGTGAGCAGGCACGGGTCGGCAGAGAGGGCGCAGTGGGTCACGTGCATGGTCACGTGCCCAAGGAGCGCGGCGTCCCCTGACATGCACTCACCATTTGGCCCTATATGAGCAATGAGAACATGTCCTGGTTTTACCCAGGACCACCGGTGATAGGCTGGCTACCAGACGCACTCTGCACCAGCTCTATAAGGGCGTATTTTTGTGCTTTTACAGAGTTTACTCTTAAACCATCCGGTGTATTGTGTCATGGTTGACAGTGTTGCGCTCAGTAGGACTGAAAGGTCTACTGCCCAGTCAACGACTGTGGATAGTGTCGACGATAGCAAGGCAGTCAGACCACTACTGTGGAATTGGTCTTATGAGTCTATACCAGGCTCAGGGCTATTAGTGACAAACGCTTGGACCGCGACAATTCCCCAAAAGGGATCTTTGTTGCGACGACTTCTCTAAAAGGGTCATTCTCTGCAGATGGGAACTTGGGCTGAAGGGCTGAGCAATGTGCGACGTTCTCAATAATACAACTACTACTGGACAGGACTTGGCGTTACAAGATTGAACTGATCTTGTCGCGGCAACTCCTGGTTTTGGGTTGGACGTTTCCTCAGATCATGCCACGGCAACGACTTGTCACATGTCAGGATCCATTCGATCATGGGACATTGTGGACGCGTTGCGGTGACACTTCCAAGTGTCACGGCAAGTCGCGCCCATACCCAAATACACTAAGACCGACACGGCTAGATCCGTGAACCGAGCCATGTGGGGAACGACTGGCGTGCCTAGGGCCATACGGCTTCTTGGGGCGCCCACGTTGGCCTCACCTGCCAAGACATACCCGTTGGCCAATACAGCACGTTGTATTCCAAAAGTATGATGCGGTGGGTTGACCCACATCAAAAGTACCATATGGACAATGGGGTGGGGTCCTGATCAGTCAGGACCTGTCCAATTGTTCAACTTTTTCATTACCATAAAAAGCAACCAATCTTAGATAGCGTAGCTACTATGCAGTTGTAAAGGACTTTACTAAGCATTGTCGTACATAGTATAAGTAGCACGTTGTTTCTTTGTATTAGGAAGCTTTTCCTCCAGACTGTGAATCACTCTCATTTCAGATTGTTTTGTACAATTTGCGTGCCGCGTGATTCCACCCTAAGAAGTTCTGCCACCCCTGCCCGGTCGCGACAAGTTGCTCCCTGAGCACTTGTAGCTACTGTGATTTGAGTTTGAGTTGAGATATCAGAAAGTCGGATTCGCCGCATCTGGTTTAGTCGCAGCATTTAGTGTCGTCGCCTTTTGGGCTTTGTTGAGATTGTTTTCCACACATCTAGCTTGGCAGTGCATCGACTAGTTGTGCTCGGGTTGTTTTGGTCAGTTGGCAGTGCGTTGACTTGAGAACTTTGGTTCCACACTTCTTGCTTGGCAGTGCGTCAACAAGTTGTGCTTGGGTTTTGGACATTGGATATTGGCTGTTAGTTGGCAGTGCGTTGACGCGGCATTTTGTTTTACTAGTTGGCAGTGCGTCGACTCAGTACTTTGGTTGTGTCGTTTGGCAGTGCGTCGACTTGACATTTGGGCTTTGCGTCGCCATCTGGACACTGTTGCTACAAGGGACCTTAATACTTTGTATTAAGCTCTGACTTGTGATATCATTGGTTGTGGTTGGATTAGTGTTGGTTTTGTTTGTATAGAAGATATTGGTTGAGACACCATTGTTTACTATATATAAATTCTTGTTGTCGACTTTGTCTTCCGCGACTATTGATCTGCGTCTATTGAGAGTTGTGATACTGGTGCTCTGTCCACCCCGAAGCCCTTGCAGCTTTCACACACTGAGAAGCTGATTATGAGGAGTGTGAACGTGTTTATATTTGGGTTTACTTTCATAGTAGATTCACTTGTGAGCGCGCCCTCAGCATTTCACCGGTGTAGAAGTGGCCCCGTATCATATCTGTTTCCTGGGTGTATCCAGGACTGTTATCCTTTAGATTACGGTACAGGCTCACATCTTCACCCGCCCTATTGGCTTTGTCTACCTCAATAAGATATTTCATAAATTTTTGTATTCTTGCCCTGGTGGTCAGCAGCACTACTGCTACTGCTAAAGGAGGTCAAATATAGAATATGCCAGACTGACCCTGTGGCAGACCCTGCAAGATGCTGGGATCAAGTGCATCAACAATCCTATTGTGCAGGGTGCATTTGGGGTTTTCCAAGCTCAAATGCATAGTCAATTAGTGTATTTACCTATGGAAATTATACTGGGATGATTTAGAGAGGCTTCCATTTTTTTTGGCAGAAAATCACATGATTATGTACCCACTGTCTGCCACAACATCCAATGTATCAAGCAGCACCTCCAAAATCATGCCAAACAGTGTGAAAAGGTGCCCCAAAAAGTCACATGATAATGCGCCCACTGCCCGCTGCAGTGTGCGAGAGGGGGTGGTAGTGCCCCTGCCAATGCCCCTGCCAACCCCCGCCATTTGGAATTTTTCCTGCAGCTCATCACATGATTTTCCCGCCATCCTGCCCATTTGGTGCATCATGTGATTTTTTGTTCCTGCCCAGCTGCCCGCTCTTACGGACAAGTCACATGGTATGTATGGGCACCCCCGTCCTGACCCCTGCACATCCCCCTGCCCCACAATGGCCAGCTGCCCCCTGTACCCCGTGGGGTCTATACCGCGTGATGGCAGTGGTAACTGAGGTGTGTTAGCAATCAATGATGCCCCTCTGACCTGATCTCGTACCTTATCCAGGTTAGATAAGATGTGATTGACAGCTACGCCCTGGACGATGAGAGCTCCTATTCTCTCTCTCTCATCGGACCAGGTGTGTACTTATTCTAGATCTTATTACACTACTCATGCTATTCTCTCTCTCATCGTACCAGACCAAATATTATATCCTCTCATATGAATATCACTGGATTCAATGTACTCATGGCTCTCAAAATGACAAGGATGAAATTCAGTGCGGAAATTCGGTGGCCATTGTCCTGTATTTGTTCCAAGTTCACATCCATCCTAATACAACACCTGTACATGTACAAAACGGAACTATCATTTACGCGTCCCCTGAGGGTTCATCGAATACCCTGAGTTCTCAGCGCGACGTGAAGACTACAGGCAACCGGCCCCGCCAAACAATGAAGTAATCCATCATATCCCGTTCCCAAGTGCTCAAGTCGAATCCTTTCTCGAATTCCATATCAAACTTGCTGACCAGAGCGCAAGTCAGCATCCTCATTTCCTGTGTGTCGTGTGAGTTCTCAGCATGCGGGAACATGCACGAAAAGCATGCATCCGACGGACCTGGTACGCCAAGTTCCGGCCGACACAGTTCGCCGGCCCGATGGAGAACGGAATAAACGCCGCAGTGTTGTGGATCACCTCGTGGTTGCCGAACAGGGTAGGCTCGAGCTTGAGTTGATCTTCGGTCGACAACCAGCGCTCGGGGATGAACACGTCGGCGAAGGGCGAAAAGTTCCTCGGATCGTGCTGGAGCGCGTAGGTGTGCACGACGGTGCTGGTGCCTTCAGGTATGAAGCTACAAAGGGGTCGGAATTGATCGCGCTTCTATGGAACCTGACTCACTGAGATCCCACCGCTTGTCCGCCACTGCCGATCAGCGGTGCACGCTGGCTTCCGCTCATGACCGCTGGGAAGAGCCGGAGGGCCTCGTTTCTTTGAAAGATGAACGGGGCTGTCCACGATGAAACTGCAGAAAACACACATCACAGCATTCAGGTATGGCATGCGCGCTTGAACGGCCGTTTCCGTGATGTTCCACTGCGGGTCGTCGACTTCCTCCCGCAGCCGGGCCAAAGTTTGCGGGTGTTTAAGCAACAGCCAGAAAATGTTGCACAGCGTGGTCGAGGTCGTTTCCGCCCCAGCAATAATTGCGGGTGATCCGTCGACGATGACTTGGGCAAGTGACACTGGACTAGTTTCCAGGCCTGCCTCGTCGATCTGTGTTGGGATCAATAGGATGAATGACAAGCAGAGAAAGCTTACCAGATGATAGAAAACATCTTTTCGGTTCGACCCCTCCAGTTTCCGTCTGGTCGCTCTATGAGCAGCATATTTCCGATATCGCCGCAGAGGTTCTCCGACGCCAGGAATCCACCGATAGAACTCAGCCGCCCATGGTAGATGGCCCAGGAAGAGTGCAGTCCTGAGGCAAATCAACGAAGTCAGCTTTGTTTCGTCCAAGTAGAGTCTTCAACTCACGGTTGAGATTGGGCTATAATCTCCAACATATCATCTTTGTCCTCCGTGGCCAGGGCGTTCCCGCCGGTGCTGAACCTGCAACCGAGTGTCAACCAGACACGCTATTGAAAATGAGATACGCACATAACATCGTTCATGACATCATATGTGAACCATCCTGCATGATGGGATGGTCATTCCAAGTCGAGGAGATGATCACTAAACGCACCAAACCATTTAGACAGATCGACCGGTTGTCCCCTCTTGGCCGAAACCATATCGACGATCTGGGAGACGCGGCCTTCGACTAGACTCTCGTACTCTTTGAGCATGGATGTGCTCAGTGCCCGATTCCATGGCCGGCGGCGGCGAGCGTGCTCCTCGGGATCACGCAACCCCAAAATCGGCCGGAACTTGGGGTCCTCAGGCATCCGTCCGTCCCACCACTCGGCTTTCCCACCGATTTAGCATTCTCCCGTCGCAAGCACATGGTGTCAACGCACCTTTGGGAAGGCCTTCTTGAGTTCCCATCATAGGGTGGATCGCGTCGACTTGTCGGAAGGACAGTTCGTTCGGGCCTGATCATCAGGGCATAATGAGATTCCCCACGCGACACACGAGCAAGCCGAGAATAGCCGCTCACCGACTCGGACGATATCTCCATACTTCTGGTGGAGCTCGGTGTAGTATATGTGCTGCTTGCCGCGCATGGACACCGCCGTCAACCATATCTTGGACACCTTGCACATAATCGGGCCGGGATACTCCGCCAGTGGGTGGAAGGGCGAGAGCCGATATACCAGCAGCGATGCGAGCAACGAAGCGTAGTAGCCGCCGTATGTCGCCGCGACTGCGACCAAAACACTTTCTCCCACATGTCGTGGCACCTGGAGCGCATACACAAGCGCGGCGGGGGGAACTATCAATAGCGTGAAGAAAGATGCAAGACGCCGCGGCTCCAGGCGGTTAAAGAGCAGGTGGCACACCTGAGAATCGATCAGTCAATTCCGCGGAGGTTGGCGAAACGCTTGAAGATACTTACCACACCAGCACCAACGACGGAGGCGACGGTTTGATTGAACGACAAGGAGATCGTCTGCATTGGAGAGAAAACTGATCATTGCCCAAGGTTCGAGCCATAGCTTTTATTCAACTGCCACTGTCGTGCTGACGGCCTCTGGAAGGCGTCATCCAGTCACTTGATGAGCATGGCACTCCTCTATCCGGAGTTAGAGCGGTGAGTCTGTTTCCCATGGCTTTGAGAACTTGCAGATCTCCATGGAATAGCACACAGATAGCATCGTGAGCGGATGTATGGGGTCCAGTTAGCTTGGCATTCCACGAGCCTGTCGCTGGGATAGTGTGGCATCCGCTTCGAAGTTGTCGAACCCTGAGACCAGAGAGCTCCATCCAACCATGGTCGAGGTCCATGTCAGCCAGAATTCGAGGAGGACAGATGCATGATCCCAGGGATGATGCAGGGTGGAGTGGAAAAGTCTCCGTCGCGGCAACGTATCGCACTCGCCACGGGTAGCGAGGGCAGTAGCCTTATTTCACAACAATTCATAAGTTCATCGCCGTCGAAACCTTGTCGTGCGAGTCTGATCCGGCTGTTGGATAGAATGCATTGGCGAGCCAAAGCGAATGCTTCTTTCCATCTCTTGAACCCCTTGCCAAGACTGAAGAAGGGAATTCGGGATGACCAAGCTCGGGGAGGTGACAAGGGGTGACCCGAGTTCGCAGACGAATATTGACCATCAAGTTTGGTTCCGATCTTCACAGCCTCCACTTCCCAAACAGGAACATGGCTGACGGATGGTTGATGACACTACGCCCGGTAATATTGTATCCTGCTAGGGGATGGAGTGGCTGTCCAGTGCCGACTCCCGAGGTTTGAGAACACACACTTCACTTGTGCAGGTCCTCTACTGGGACTCTGGGCTGAAGCACCGATAAGCAAGCCTTCCGATTGCCCTAGCCGAGCGTGAGATGTGCTTCAAATATCCCAGAATACCTCCAATTAGGATCGTGCCTGCTCGGGCACAAAGCCCAATTTCCCGTCCGAGAAGCCCGCTACCAGGCCTCGGGCTTGCAAAGCCTGGCCCGGGCCAGCTGATTTGCTCATGACGCTGAGTCACCGCAGCTGCACGAGACGCGTCAAATCGACTCAGACTCAAAAGCTATTTTCGTCTTGACTCAAAAAGTCAATTCCATTCCCACATAACTAAGGGAGCAGGTAATAAGTTCAGATGGTTCAAGCCCATTGGGGTGGCTCAATCTTAACTTCGTCCATCTAGCCATTAGCTCATATAAACAAGTCATCCAACCGCCTCTGTCAGCAATTATTAGCTGATAGCTAGATGGGCCACCCGTTTGATGCTCGATACAAGATCGATCTGATGCAATCAATCAACTAGGTTATGAATGTTGGAATTCTGATGTACGACGTGTTGATATTCTCTGATTTGGCGTATTCTGGATGTACACTCTCCCAAATTTTTGGCACAGATAACCATTCACTTTAAATTTAATTTCTCAAAAATTAAACTGATGAGATGTTTGGAACCTTATGAATATCCTCTGCTCGGAGTATTGTGCAATGTGGCCCAGTTATATTCTGATTCGACAATAGTGCGGTGTGTACAGTGTGCATTACTTCCGCTCTGCTGTCCGACCAGGTCTGGGTGAGTAGCACGATTAAATGAAAATTATAAGGCTAGATAAAGTTCTCTCAGTACGTGGAATAACTGCGCGCTCCCATATCCTGGGTGACCGAGCCTCAGATTGATGAATAAAGTAAGTTTGCGTGCCTCGTTACACTACATGAGATGAATAGAAATTTCAACAAATATTCTCGACTCGAATTTCATCTGTGAGAGTTTGATATCGACTTGACCCGGACCCAGCACATAGTAATTCTCGAAGCACCAGGAACGACCGCCCGTCTTCGTAATGACTCAGGTTACGCGATCAGATAGATTTGGCTCTACGGGTCACTCTACATTGCTTCTTTCCAAACTTCCTTCTCACATTTGTAGCCTAATCATCAGTAAGGCACGCGACGTGTCGCGTGAAGTTGATCCAAATCTAGGAAAATGGGATACATCGTTCATCGTGAAGCAAATATCACGGGCAGCCGGCCTCGCCAGACCACATAAAAGTCCAACAGATCCCGCTCCCAGGTACTCGGATCGAATCCGGGCTCGAATTCCATATCGAATTTGCTGACCAACGCGCAGATCAGCATCCTCATTTCCTGTGTGCGTGCAAATAGTCTCAACGTGCTGCGAATCGCGAAAAGGCCTCTGACTGACCTGATACGCCAGATTGCGGCCGACGCAGTTCGCCGGCCCGATGGAGAATGGAATAAACGCCGCAGTGTTGTGAATCACTTCATGGTTGCCGAACAGGGCAGGCTCGAGCTTGAGCTGGTCTTCGGTTGGCAACCAACGTTCGGGGATGAACACCTCAGAGAAGGGTGAAAAATTCCGTGGATCGCGCTGGAGCGAGTACGTGTGCACGAGGGCTGTAGTCCCTTCCGGTAGGAAGCTACGGATGCTTTGAGAATTTGAATCCAGATCGAATCAAAAATGGGCCCACTCTGATCCCACCGCTTGTCCACCACTGCCGACCAGTGGTGCGCGCGGACTCCCACTCAAGACCGCGGGATACAGGCGCAAGGCTTCGTTTCTGATAAGCCATTAAGAGGCAATGCCATGCGATTCGACAAAAATATGTACATCACAGCATTCAAGTATGGCATGCGCGCTTGCGCAGCCATTTCAGTGATGTTCCACTGCGGGTCGTCGACTTCTTCCCGCAGCCGGGCCAAGGTCTGCGGATGTTTGAGCAGCAGCCAAAAGATGTTGCTCAGGCTCGTCGAGGTCGTCTCCGCTCCAGCAGTAATTCCGGGCGCGCCGTCGACTATGACCTGTTGCAGCGCCACAGGCGCAGTTTCAACACCAGGCTCGTCGATCTTTTCGAGAATAAGAGTCACCACGGTCAAAGAACATTGGAGAAATCTGACCAGATGGTAGAAAACGTCTTTGCGGGTTGAGCCGGACTGCTTTCGTTCGATCGCCCTGCGAGCTGCATATGTCCGATAATTCCGAAGATGTCCGCCAATACCAGGGATCCACCGATAGAATGCAGCAGCCCAGGGCAGGTGGCTCAAGAATAATGCGGTTCTGAAAAAAAAGGCAGCAATGAGCAGGCTTCCGTCGTACATGAAAGATGGAACCGACGGTTGACAATTTGCGATGAATTCCAGCATCTGGTCTTTGTCCTCCGTCTCCATGGCGTTCCCGCCGGTGCTGAATCTGCAATCGAGCGTTAAGCCCCAGCGTACTGGGAACCAGTAGTATCATACGACGCACATGACATCGTTCATGATATCGTAAGCGAACCAGCCTAGTCAGTGGATCGTCAGGTCCATTCCAATAGACAGCAGTTCCGCCCACCAAGCCATTTGGACAAGTCGAGCACCCCGCCTTTCTTGGCCGAAATCAAATCGACCATCTGGGCCACGCGAGTCTCGACCATGGTCTCATATTCCTTGAGCATCGGTGAGCTGAACGCCCGATTCCACGACCGTCGGCGACGAGCGTGTTCTTCGGGATTCCGCAGCCTGAATATCGGCCGGAACGTGAGTTTCTGCGGTTTCCGACCGTCCCACCACTCCGCTTCGCGCACGCTTTCAGAACGCAGCCCCCATCCAAGACGCGTGACATCCACGCACCTTTCGGCAAGCCATCCTGCGTTCCCATCATCGGCTGTACGGCGCTCACGTGTCGGAACGACAGTTCGTTCGGGCCTGTTATGGGGTTCCAGACGCGAAGTCAGAGTCGCCAAGGAACAGGTGGGCGAGTCGGAACCAGCCACTCACCGACACGGATGACATCCCCGTACTTCTGGTGCAGATCGTAGTAGTAGATGTGCTGCTTGCCTCCCATCGACAGTACCGTCAGCCATATCTTGGACACCTTGCATAGAAGCGGACCCGGATAACGTGCGAGGGGATGGAACGGAGATAGCCGGTACGTCAGCAGCGAGGCCAGCAGCGACGCGTAGTAGACGCCGTACGTCGCCGCGACTGCACCCCACAGACCTCCCCCTCTCCCTCCTCCTCCTCCATCTACTCCACCTGCATGCCGCGACACTTGAAGCCCGTAGACGAGTATGGCAGGCGGTACTATCAGCAGCGCGAATAACGCCTCGAGTCGCCGTGGCTCCAGGCGGTTGAAGAGCAGATGGCACACCTGGGCATCGCATCGATCAGCTATCTCCGCGGACGAAGGAACCGCAGTTTCCTGCTGCTGCTGCTCACCACGCCGGCCCCAGCGACCGAGGCAACGGTTTGACTGAACGGTAAGGAAATCGTATGCATCCCAGGGGACTCGGGCGAGAGGTCGGGGATCGTGCCGTCACTTTATATTTGACTCTCATGATCGGCTTTCTGAGGGCGAAGCTCAAAGTCACTTGACGAGAGAGATGCTTGCTCTAGCGGAGATAGTGCGATCCGCACGAGTCCTTGGGCGGTGAGAACATGGAGACATCCACCCAGTCCCACGCAGACGACACCGTCTCCCAGATGTGTATACGCTTCGGCTCGAATCGGCTCCGAAACCAAGAATATGTCGCTGATTTCGGCGTGGAGGAAAATTTAGAACGCTGAGGCCGAGGAAGCTCCATCCAAATACAAGTGAATTCCGCGCAAGAGCGCTGGATGCTCGCTTCGAAGACTACATAGTCACATTTTCACACTAAACTCAGATCTATTGGGGAAATCTACGTGCAAAATCGTAATATCCCACGTGACCGATTGATGCCAACACGGCAGCTTGGAGTTCCAGCCAGGACCAGCGGCAGACAGAGAGCTGAGCGCAAAACCTCTCAAAGTCTAGGATTGTATGTATACGACGCCCGGAATCTTACCATGCAACTCCCAGAGAAAACGGATTAGAATTCGCTGAGCACAGGCTGGTGCTCGGTGCACAGTCTGACTGGACTCAATTCTTTATTTTTTTTGGATGAGACTTGAGGTTCTTTAGGATGCATATTATTGAAACTTGTTTGCAAAGTCTCAGAGAGAAATATGGAAAACTGAATGAGTTTGAGAGCGTTCAGCTCGTCCCATCAGCTACGTGCGAGGGATTTGTACTTGTTTAGTGCTGAGCGGATGCCCTAAAGCCGATGATTGCTCGCTTCGCTCGCGAGGAGGCACGTGACCGACATACGGGACATCACCCAAGTGCATGCAAGGGTGCAGGTAAGAACCAGCAGACCTATGTACGCGCCATTCCCATCATTCTATCGAGTTGTTATAACTACATGAAAAAGTTGCGCCCGTCCCCGTAAATCTCTGCCACACTCGTTGCTCAAGCCCCCGTACCCCAAACTTGACCCCGAAATCGCAGCTCGCGGAATGGTAATTATCCTACGGGCTACGAACGGAAATATTACAGCGTGTCGTTAATACGTATAAATCAAGTGTCTATGGTCATGATCATCCAATGGGATATTTACAGCTGAGCCTGACTCCTGTTGTGTCGACCAAGCAACTCACTCAGCTTCCCCGCCGCCGCACCACGACCCAGCTCGTCCTGCGCCGCCATGACTTGCCGCCCGACCATCTCGCTCTGTCCACGGCTGCCATACCCAGCATGCTGCACGTGCGGTCTCGTCCCCAGGACCAAAGAAAACCGCTTGGACCGGGTCGGCATCTTCGCGGGCCCGTCTGAGATGGACACGAGCTGTGTCCGGGTCGTCACGTTCGTCGTCTGCAACGCAACAGCAGGCATTGAGAACCGCTTGTTACGCCGCGCAGTGTCTTCCTTCCTCGGCCGGGTTTCTTCGTCGAACACGTCGTCGTCTCCCAGATCGACAATCGTCGTCGGCCGAGAGAGCGAACGCGAATCCTCGGAATCAACTTCCTCCTCTTCGACCTGAGTTGTCAGATCATCCAGTATCTGGTGATAACTCCGAGGCCGAGACGGAGGTGAGCGAACAGCCGAACCAAGCGCTTCGTTCACACTGAAGCCACGCCTTAGCCTCTCGTATTTCATTCCCTGCCGGCGGTCGATCGCCATCAGCGCTTCGGTCGTCGAAGCCAGCGGGAGCGATGGCATGGACAACCAAGATGGAAAGTTGGACAGGGAAGACATCGTGTTGGAGTTCGCGCTGAGCATGCTGGGCTGCCCTTCTTCCTCCGCATCGGAGTCCTCAAGAACAGGGAAGACCGTCTCGTAACACGCATTGCAGGCCCGGGCAGGCTTGCTCGAACCGTGCTTGGAATTCGGATCCGAAATGAAGAAGGTCTGATAAGGTATCAGAGGAGGGGAATAGAAATACGGCAGCCGGCAAATCACTGACCCTCTCCGAACAGGTCGAGCACACACACCGTCCGCAAAGCCGACAATGGTGGCGCCGTCTTCGCCAACCGAAAGGCCGGCCACATCTCATACAACCCTCGGTCTTCTCATCAGGAATCCAGATGGCCGGGACCCAGTGCTCGACGCCTTCTCGTCGCTCCAGCTTCTTCTTGCCCTTCTTGGTTTTGCCATCGTCCCTTCGTCCGACCAGCCGCTCATCTGAAGGTGGAAACGGCAGAGCCTGCAATGCCCTGCGCAGATGTGCAGTCGACGCAGAGGACGTGAGCGTCGAATCCGGATGAGTCGCGTTCAACGAGACAAACAACTGCGCCTTGGTCTGTCTGATGGCATCGGTCCAGAGATTACGTTCTTCTTCGCATTCTAGGGCACGCATTCAAGAACATTCTCAGGACAGCGGGAACCGAAACTTGCCAGCATAAAGCACAAAACTTCCCTCCGGACTCAGCACATCAAATCTGCGCTCCTCACCCTCGCCGCCAGACACAGGAGACACCACGACCTCCAGATCCACTAGCTCTGCACGGCCTTTGTACACCCATCTCGTCTCTTCAGCGCCCATAGCACCACTGCTTCCATGACGTCGTTTGGCTATCGGCGGCCTGTAAACCGATTTGCGAAGAGGCGGCAACGCGCTCTTGGTCGCGGCCAGTAGATCTCCCGCCGATCGAATTACGGGTAGCTCCGCGTCACTCTTGCTCCTCGTTCGCACCATTGTCGGCCGGAATGGACCTGGGCTCAGACTGCTGCTAGCTGCTCCGGCACCCGTCCAGCCTTCATCAGCTTCGAGCCACACCAGGCAGTCCGAGAACAAGAGAAACTCGCGGTCTCTGGGTGCAGAGCTGCGTTCGACGTGGGCGAGGGGACCGCGCCGGACGAGTGTTCGGCCAGGGCTGATCAACTGGAAGGGAAGGTTCGGTGTCGCACGCTGCAGGGCGAGCAGAGCAAGCGTCTGCGCGTGCGTGTGTATCGATGTGTTCAGCGTCAATGTGACTGCGTCCCTTGTCAGGAAACAGCAGCGCTTAGAACAAACACGGACGCACTCTTAGACACCAACTTATGAACCGCAGTCAGTTGTGCGTGCTCCGGATCGTCAGGATCGGTGCACGAGATAAGATCCTTCAGCAGAAGCAAGTAACGCGGGCATCGCTGTACGATGGTCAGCAACCAATCACGGAGCTTGAGCTTCCCGCATCGAGGGTCAGCCTCTTGCTGCTGCAGATACACGGCGAAGACTGCATTATACTGCGGATTAGGACTGATCGCCGTTGGCGGGGATATCATGGACACCATGGCAGATATCGTAGTCGGGAAAGAAGTGATAAATGGGTTGTAGAGTGACAAGTACGGGAAATGGGCAAGGAGGACGGGAGACAGTGGCGGCGGGAGCGCGTCTCGGTCGGATAGTGTGTCTGATAAAGCAGCATAGAAAGCACGATGCAGATTCCAGATGTCCACGAAGTTGGAGAAAACAGACGCTAGTTCGCCGCGCTGTAACAGAGGCTGTGGTGTCTCCAAGGACTGAATTATGGGAGTAAGGAAGTGCTGTAGGTCAATTTTAGAGACACGCGCTTGGAGAAACCGTGAATTGAGATGCTTACAGAGTATATGAGCTCCAATCCATCGACATAGGTCCTCTCTGTCTCTTGAAATTCTTGGATGACCTTCCTCCGTTTCGCTTCCCGAAGCTCATCCACCGGCTTTCCGGACCATCGATTGGTGGACATCGAGCGGACGTTTGACCTTCGATGCGGACGCGCGATGCGCAAGATTCCCGGTGATGAGGGGCTCGAAGGCGACTGTTGACCTTCCTCAGGCGTCGAATCAAACGAAGCGACACTTGCGATGGAAGCTCGATGCGGATTGGGACTCGTGGGGAAGGAAATGCGGCGGAACGGCAGGTGCGTCGGTCTCGGCCGTGGTGTGGGGTGGATGTTCTTGTCAGAGGTAGGGAACGCGACATAAGAGGTCTCTAAAAGCATCCGCGTTGGGCGAGTCAGCTCCGAATTTGAAATGCAAAGTATGACTTGGCACGAACCTCCAGCCATCTCTGGCCCTCTCAATTGTCGTTGTGGAGGGTTCTATGCGAGATCACTTTTGTAATGTCGTGCGCCTGTCGAGTTCCCTGAGACAAAGCGATCGGGCCCCTTTCGCCGTTGTTGAAAAGGCGCAGAGAAGCGGACGCGCCCAGCCTGCTCGAAGGGTCAACAATGACACCGTTGGGCCAGGGACCGAGGAGAAAGGCGTGTAGTGGAAGCCCGAGGGCTTCGTCGTTGGGAAGCTAATCGAGGTGTTGGGATCAAAGGTGGTTAGCACCGGCTGAAAGAAGTCTGACGTCAGCACTTGCTCACTTTCATCGATCAATACTGCCTGAAACGTCCAGCACTGGCCGGTCATTGCAATTGGTCCAAGTCCAGTTTCATATTGAGGAGTCCGATCACACACCTTTTACTTCGCTTGCGGCCTGGATGAGATGCTGCGCTACGCGACGCATGTGAAAATCTCACGGAGAATCCTCACAGATACTGGGACATACATGTTACTGCGAACATAATACATGTTGAGAGCCTGCTAGACGAAGCCAAATGGATGATAGTCTGAGAGCTCTTTTTCTACTCGATGTCAAAGAACAAGACCTCGGCAGTCTTGTCCCCGATGTTCTCGACGACAATATCACCCGGTCCCTCAAAGTGCATGTACGCCCCATCACCCTCCCGAAGTACCACCTCTTCGCCCCCAACGCTCGCCTTTACACCCGAGCCCGTCGCAGAGCCTGTGTTGTATCCACTTGTCTGCACAACATGCATGTATCCCTTCGACCCCTTCACGCTCTGCGTCAGACTCTTACCCTCGGAAAGCAACGTCGCATAGAGCGTCAGCGCGCTCTGCACCGGCGCCGGGCTCTTCCCCTCCCGGCTGTCCTTCAGCACGCCCTCGGCATCCACAGGCGCCACCACGCGCACCCACTGGTCCCGCTTCTCGTCGTCCGAGAAGTGGCGCGTGAAGTATTTGGGCGTGAGACGTGCGACGCGCGGCAGAGACCAGATCTGGAGGAAGTGGACCTGCTCTGGGCCATACGTCTTCTCTGAATGCGAGATGCCTGTGCCCGCGGATGTGAGCTGGAGGTCACCGCGCTTGAGGATCTCTGTGTTGCCCATAGAGTCTTTGCTGGGAGGACGTCAGTAACACGTATCGCGCTTCGCGAGTCAACGCACTGCTCAAGCTGTCCCGACACCACATAAGAAAAGATCTCGAACTCTCGATGCGAGTGCGTGCCGAAACCGGTGCGCGGAGAGACACGATCTTCATTGATGACACGGAGCGAGCCGAATTTCTCGTGTTCATAATCGTAGTATCTGAGGAAGATCGAGTAATCAGAGGGTCTCCCTCGAAAGCATCTCAAAAGCAACTCACGACGCAAAGTTGAAAGTGTGGAAAGTCTTCAGCCACCCGTGGTCGGCGTGGCCGCGCTCCTGACTCGGACGAGGGACAATCTTGGCGCTCATTTGTATTCAGGGAGTTTGTGTGAAGGCCGTGGAAGTAAGACGACCTAGTCCGGCGAGTTTGGGTAGGGAGGGCAGTTTGTGTCGAGGAGAGGGAGAAATCGAATGAGGATCGAAGAGCGGAGGTCACCGACCTTATATGGCCTTTCGTGCGGAGACGAGAAGAAAGGAACTGTGTTTGGAATATCTGACTGAGCCATCCTAATGAGGGTTATTGCAGAGGCGTCAGCCGTCACGCGGAATTGCCTGTTTTGGCAGCTACACCGACACGCCCAATTTGGAAGGCATCGAACTGCGATTAGATCAAGTGTTTCCATCGTAATGGGCGGCCCTGCCGGCCCGATATGCGTCAATACCTCGCAACTTTTTCTGAAAACCCTCCCCCCTTTGTGATGGGACACCAGATCTTCAGAATTATGACATTGATTCTATTGTGAACCATTTTTCTTCCTTTTGATCTACCAGATTTTAGCAAAAACTCATGATGTTGTCAGATACTCCAAGTACGAGATGTCGATCGTCAGTTTAATCTCTATTTTCGTCACCATATGTACGAATCGTGTGTTTGAATGCCAAGATTTCGCCTTCTGTCATTCGAGCTGCCGGACTGTGCTCGAATTCGTCACTACTGGTTTTGCTTCAGAGTCAGACCTGACTTCCGAAAGAAGTATACATTCTGCTCTTATTGACCTGTTCGATTCCTCATCTAGTTCTAGATCTTTGCGTGCTCAACCGCCATCTCTGAATGAACCCGACAAAGTCTGATCCGCACTTGAACAATGGTTCACCCGTTTTGAAAGCAACAGCTCGCAGTGATCATTTAATCAGCACTGTTCCTCAAAAATCCCCAATTCTTGACTCTAATCTTCAATATTCATGAGGGAAGGTATGGTCTCCTCGGCTTCAAACTTATATCAGACCCTAGAAACAGCACCAACATGGTCCCAACCGGTTGGTTGAAATGGGACGGCACCTTAGCGCACAGCATTCACCGCTAATACATAATCCTGTATATGATGCCGTTGGATTGGAGACTCGAAGTTCCAGTTGAATCATGCATGACTCAGTAATCTTACAGTACGGTTCAATTTGTCAATCCCGCCGAGTCCAGTTTAACGTTCACACAACATAATTGTAACGTGTCACGGACGGAAAATGATATTGACCTCGTCTAGTCTCGTCCTTTTTTCGACCTTGAGCCTTGGAATAGACTTGTTCCGTTCACCTCACCAGAGATTTGCCGGTACGTACAGGGCTGACAAATGCTGACCAAATATGACATCATTACTACCCGGCAATGGCTATACCCGAAGTGGTAATCCGGAGTCAGTCAGTCACGATTCGATTTTCCCACCAGCCATTTGTCCGACTTCCAGCGGAGTACTCCTCCAGCGTAATTTTCGTACACGCTTGGCGCTCAATTTCCAATCCGACCGGCCCGATGTAGGACTTGTTCGCAAGTATAAAGACGCGGCTGCCCGGGGAACAGAGCAGCAACAACAAAACCCCTCACCTCTTCTCAATGAGCGCACCCGTCGAATTCACCGTCTTCAAGGGCTCCAAGACCGACCGCATCGTTGAAGCCACGACCTCCCGCCCCGCCCCGACGGGTACTCAGGTCCTCGTCCGCATCACGCACTCGGGCATCTGCGGCACCGATGAACACTTCAAGCACACCGACATGGCGCTCGGGCACGAGGGTGTCGGTGTCGTCGAGAGGATCGGGTCCGGTGTGACTCAGCTACACGTCGGGGACGTCGTCGGGTGGGGCTACATCCATAAAACGTGCGGGAAGTGCGACCAGTGTCTTCTTGGTACGCGTCTTATACTCAGGCCTGCTGGTGCAATGCTTGACTGTCTATGTCTAGGCCACGACCAGTACTGCGAAGACAAGGAGATCTATGGTACCCACGACTTTGACCAAGGATCCTTCGGTACCTACGCTGTAAGTCTTCGGATGTTGCTCAGCCACTGTCTTTTTTGACTGACCATGCACTAGGTCTGGGATGAAGCCTTCTTGTTCGTAGTACCGCCCACCCTTGCCCCGGAAAATGCCGCACCTCTCATGTGTGGTGGTGCGACCGTCTTCGAGGTCATCGAGTCATACAACATCCGGCCCACGGACCGGGTAGGCGTCATCGGCGTTGGCGGGCTCGGCCATCTCGCGATCCAGTTCCTGTCCAAAATGGGTGCCTCCGTCGTAGTATTCTCCAGCTCGAACGCGAAGCGCGACGAAGCGCTGAAGCTCGGCGCGGACGAGTTCTACGCGACGAAGGACGTGACCAAGTTCGAGAACGTGAAGCCGCTCGACCATCTCCTAGCCACCACCAGCTTCATTCCCGACTGGAGGCCATACCTCGGCGTGATGAGGCCCAAGAGCAGCATCTATCCGCTCACGGTCAGCCCCGACGACCTCAGAATCCCGCTCATGGGCTTGATTGAGGGAGGCATTACCATCCAGGGCTCGGCTGTCGCTGCCCGCTCCGTGCATCGTCGTATGCTCGACTTTGCGGCCCGCAACCAGATCACACCGATGATTGAAACATTTCCTATGACGAGGGAAGGTGTCGAGGAGGGCATGGCCCGTCTAAGGGAGGGCAAGGTCAGATATCGGGCAGTCCTCGTCGTGTAGAGGCTCCCGGCGCCTAGTTTACCAAAAGTTTTACGATATTTGACGCATATTAGATCACCTAGACCAGCATTCTAATGTACTTACACACATCTACAATTGTAAAACATCATTACACTTCGAGTTCTCTAAGGAGACAAATTTCCCAATTCTATGTTCAGGCGCCGGGACCACTGAATGCAGTGTGGTTTGTCAACCAGGACGGAAGTTTCGAGTCTTAAATGTCGCGCACCCAGGGTTTAAGCTTATGAAAGCATTCAGGTCAACCTCCGTGTTCTAGGAGCAAATTGAACTCGGCGCCACGGCCGGGAAGACGCTTCGTGGGCCAACGCTTTACTTCCAGATTAGGCAATTCGCCCGGGTCGTATCGTTTCTCGGTTGGCAAGATATATATAGTCCTTGTCCGTATAACGTTCTCCGTATCGCACGCGTACACATAAACTCTCTTCAATCTACATAATGGTGTATCACGTCCATCCTCCCTGATCTGACAAGCGGCTGCTTTTGGATTCTGTCGAAGCGGGAGCTGTAGTACTTCCTGCGTTCCTATCAATCAGAGCATGGTTGAGCAATCTTCGAGGCCAACACGTTTTGAGTTTGAGAAGATAACCCACAAGCTTGAGGATCCGGCGCAGTTGTCTTTCGTTCTCGTTCTTGAGGAGCTCGACGTCTCGTTTTAGGGCAGTGATCCGGTCGCTGGTGATGATGAGAGAGGCGATGAGCAGAGACAATGTGAAAGCGATGGCCAGGACCTGAAGCATGATGCTTATGGGGGTGGTGGCTTGGGCTCAGGAGGTATTTAAATATGAGCCTGTGCTCAAAGGACCTGTGGCAGATCACCCCAAAGCGTTCATATGGCTCGCTTTACTAGAGTAAATGCCGGCAGTTGTGCGAGCATGAAAGCCTGCCAGTCCCGACTCTTCACCGGGAACATTCGACGTCGACGAGTGAGTGAATGCACCCTGACCATGGGTGCACCCGTGCACAAGTCCACTCTAGATTACATCTGCCATAATACTACGATGAAAATACAACTCTGAATCTACTCGATGTCAAAAAACAAGACCTCGGCAGTCTTGTCCCCGATGTTCTCGACGACAATATCACCCGGTCCCTCAAAGTGCATGTACGCCCCATCACCCTCCCGAAGAACCACTTCTTCGCCGCCAACGCTCGCCTTCACACCCGAGCCCGTCGCAGCGCCTGTGTTGTATCCACTTGTCTGCACCACATGCATGTATCCCTTCGACCCCTGCACGCTCTGCGTCAGACTCTTGCCCCCGGAGAGCAGCGTCGCATAGAGCGTCAACGCGCTCTGCACCGGCGCCGGGCCCTTGCCCTCCCGGCTGTCCTTCAGCACGCCCTCGGCGTCCACAGGTGCCACCACGCGCACCCACTGGTCCCGCTTCTCGTCGTCCGAGAAGTGGCGCGTGAAGTATTTGGGCGTGAGCCGTGCGACGCGCGGCAGAGACCAGATCTGGAGGAAGTGGACCTGCTCTGGGCCATACGTCTTCTCCGAGTGCGAGATGCCCGTGCCCGCGGATGTGAGCTGGAGGTCACCGCGCTTGAGGATTTCTGTGTTGCCCATGGAGTCTTTGCTGGGAGGACGTCAGTAACACGTATCGCGCTTCGCGAGTCAACACACTGCTCAAGCTGTCCTGACACCACATAAGAAAAGATCTCAAACTCCTTATGCGAATGCGTGCCGAACCCCGTACGCGGTGCAACACGGTCCTCATTGATCACGCGCAGCGCGCCGAATTCGGCGTGCAACGGGTCGTAGTACCTGTTCAGAAGCCCGTCAGGTCGCAGCATCACACGCAGAAGGCACACATACGACGCAAATGAAAAGGTGTGGAACGTCTTGAGCCAGCCGTGGTCTGCCTGACCGCGCTTCTGACTGGGACGAGGGATTATCTTGGCGCTCATGCTGTCGCTGAATATAGTAGAGGAAGAGGCGATTTCGGTGAGCGAACGACGAGGGAACGAAGACTTGATATGGGGTCGGAGCAGAGCCCGTGCAGGGTTTATATAGGCGGATCGCAAAGCCATGAGAGGAATGGAACCAAGTATGGGCTATCTGACCGAGCCATCGTAATGGACGTTTTGAATCGAGCTTTAGCGATCACGAGGATCTCCATATTTAGAAACAGCGGCAACACGCGTGATGATCAATCGAGGTAATCCTTGCTAAACACGATTAGTCTGCTGAACCGCTCCTTCTAATGTATTCTGGGTGTTTCCTCTTAGTTCCTTCCAGCGTCATATCCTCCACCATGTAAGCCTCGATTCTCAGCTCACCAATATCGCTACGCGGTCACGTTCGTGCTCGGAGTTGCCTTTTAAGGACCATCCGAACTGGGCCGAAATGAGAGCGCGTTTTCAGACCTTGTGCTGTGGAGATGATGCACTATTATGGAAGACGGAGAATCATCACGTTTCTGTTCCTTAGGACCAGATGCCCACGAGATGTGGATCGTGAACCACCATCACCTTTACCAGTGCGCAGTCTGTCCGAAGATGTAAGCCATATCCTTTGGACCGATAACAGCGCCTTGAAAGTATGTTCGGTGGAATGCAGCGTCTACCATGATACAATCACCAAATCACCTCCAGGTTTCTGACCAAACTGGTCGTGAAGATTGACTGTATCCGCTCAACAAACACACGGAAGTATCAGCGGGTACATTTTTATCTACTAGTACAGCATTCGTAGAGCAAGCTTCAAGGAGACGAGTACTAAAATCATACAAAAACATTCTACCATAGATCCTACAATTCGACTTCGACCTCTGAGGGCTTCAGCATCCCCGGAATCCGCTCCCGCTCTTTCCTCTCCTCCTCCCTCTTGGCCTCGCTCTCCAGATCCAGCACGTTCGACTCGGAACTTGCAGAATCGCCCTGGAACTCTTTGAGCTGGATAAGGAAGTCCCGGACCGCCAGCTTGAACTTGGTCGAGTCGGAATGCAACGTCGACAGGGATGTGATGAGCGTCCGGATATCCCCCCTACGAATCGCGTCAGCAGACATCTCGAGGTTTTGTAAGACTGAAACGCACGTGGCGACGTGCGGGAACGCCGAAGTAAGCAGCCCGTTGATGTATTCTTGCAGACCCTCCATGTTGCCCTTCCCGCCGTCGAACAAAGCGACTTGGATCCCATTCCCGGACGGATCGACCAGCTCGAACAACCGCGCCAGAACGGTCGTCTGCATCCGGAAACCGCTCTTGTGGTCCGTGTCCGTCAGCACGAAAAGGATGTCCTGCACGATCGACAGGAAATACGCTTGGAAGAAGGGATTTTTGATCTCAGGCGGAGACGACGTGAAGTTGTCGATCACCTCTAAGCAGACTAGATCGACCGATAAGACTGGATTCGATGCACCCGAGAAGCAAGCAACGTACTCGTCAGTCCTAGATCGGCAACGTCGCGGATCGTGTGTTTGATGGCCCACATGATGCTGTCCATGAAAAGCTTGAACTGAGCTGGCTGCAAGCCCAAAAGCGCTGGGAAGCATTTGCTGTTGACTGCCCGGAGGAGCTTGTACAAGCCCATGCGGTGGTCAGGGAACTCGGTAAAGTCCTTCGTGATCATATCCAGTGTCGGCTGGAACACCGCGTCGAGTGTGGCCGGGATTTGGACAGTGAGGAGAGCCTGAAAGTAAGATCAGCAAAGACACAGCACGGCACGCGCAGACACCACGCACCCCAAGCTTCTCGACAATCACGGCCATCAAGAACAACACCTCTGCCTCCCTCGCTACAGGCACATTTCGCTGGTAGTCACCTAGAATCGCATCCAGGAGCAGCGGTATGAAGTTGGCGTTGACAATCTCGAGACTTTCGGAATCCCCGCTGCCAGCGGCGTTGATGTATGTCTCCATCAGCTTCAGGATATCCTTCTTCACCGTGCGCAGTTGCCTGATCCTCGGCGTCTTGCTTGCGATGGGACCTGGCAGAGTCAGCGACCAAAGCTCGAGCATGTTCAGGAGTAAGAGGACGCACCGTCTCTCTGGACAGTCTCACTGATCAACGCGCTCACAGTCTTGTACAGCCCCAACATATCCATGAACACCCTGCCGATCTGTGGAAGGTATGCGGCACCAATCGCACTGCATGCTGACACGTTCGTCTTCAGGATATTCGAAAGCACCTTCACGTTATCAGAGGAGCCCAGGACATCCATGTTTTGCGCGGCTTGGGCCATAAGCGAATCCCACTGCGCGAAAACGGATATGAGCCAGAATGATGGATGGGGTAGAAACTTGACGCACAGCGCTGTTTGGCAGCTCCATGAGAGTGGCAATCAACCTCTCTTGCGAAGACTTGTTCGCCTGCGCCGAGATGACGTGCCCGACTGCTTCGTAGAATGTGTGGACCTGGTGTTGCGCGTGAAGCCAAAGAAGAAGTGAGCGAAGCAGGCTAGACAGACCTGCTGGGGACTTAGATCGACGGTGATCCTCGACAGATTCCGCAGAATTTCATCGACGAACGGCTCGGTCTCGCCTGACTGCAGAATGACGAAATGTCTTTTACACTTCTGGGCAATCTTGATGAACGTGTCGCAAGCCATATCCTGGACACCTGTGCTTCTGTGAGGCCAAGACACGACCGAGAACAGAACACGCACCCTCATGTTTCTCGTGCATGAACTCGAACAGCTTGTTGACGACAGTTTTGAGGAACTTCCAGTGGGCCTTGAGGAAGCGAGGATACTGGCCCACGATGTACATGATATCCGACGCGACGACAGCCTTGTTGTCTTTGCCACGCTTGATCTCGACCAGAGCAAGCAGCTCTTTGATTGTTGTGACAAGGAATCGTTTCTCCTGCTCTTCGCCTGGGCATCACCTCAGCACCGAATCAATAGAGCGAGAAGAGGAGAGAAGGACTGACTCATAGTCTGCGAGATGGACCCAATCGCCCAACAGAGCGAGTTCAGATTCGCCCAGCTCCACTCGCTGCCATCCATTTGCTTCGCGAGCTTGTCCATCAGGATACTCTCCATGTCCGACACGTCCAGGTGCGTCAGGTAAACCAAGACGACACGCATGGACTTGTACAACACGATCGTATCAGACTCCTTCATGAACTCGCGCACGATTTCGCCCTCTTCGGTCTCGACAACAAGGACCTGAGGGCAGGATCAGCAGCTTGTCCTGTCGGGACAAGAACTAGGTGACACTCACTTCCTCGGGTTTGGCCATCCTGCCGGTGACGACTAGCCTGAGATTGGAGAGCACGGCAGCGTACATATCCTTGCGTCCTCCGCTCCTAGGACCGAGACTCAGCCCCATCAACAACCCAGCCTCCCCACCCCGCTGGTCCTCCTCATACAGCTCAGAGACCAGCTTGGTCCAATACTCCAGACAGATCTTAAACACTTCCCGCTCCTCGACCGTCGAGATCTTGACGAGATACATGTGCGCATTGAGCAGCGCTTCCTTGCTGGCGTCGCCCGCGGCTTCCAGCGTCTTCAGATGCACCGTCAGGAAGTTCGTGAGGAACAGGGTGATGTTGAGGATGAGCTCCTGGACATCGTCGTCCGCGTCTGCGTAGCCCTGGCGGATATCCGTGCTCGGTGGGACCATCCGGTTGATGGCGGCCATCACCATCGCGAACAGGATCGTGAACTTCTGGTCGTATTCGGGCCCGACCTCGAGCGCGGCAACCTCCGCCAAGCACTTCAGCGTGACATTCCGGAATTCGGGCTGTTCCAGGAACTGAAAGCTATTCGTCAGCGGAATGAGGACATCCTCTCAATCTCGCAGACATACCCGATTCAGCAAGATGTCAATGACCTGCGTCTCGAAGATGTACCCCAATGGAATCCAGTTCAAGAACCTGAGCAGTGTCTCGAGCGTCGCTTTCACCAGCGATGTCTTGTTCGCCTCCTTCAAGACCTCGACACAGAGCTTGAAGATTTCCGAGAATTCCCCGGACATTTGCGTTTTCAGGTTCTTGGTCTTGGTCTGCGTCATTTGTTCCGCAGAGAAGTCGAAGATTTCTTCAGAGAGGCTGTGCGAGTGTGAGCGGACAAAACGGATGGAAGGAGAAGGGCGCTAGAGGCACGCACAGTTTCAGAATCGCCATATTGTTTTCGCACAATGTCAGGTTGGCGGTCGAGGATTGGATCAGCTCGGAGATGAAGTTCGGCCAGTTATGTGGCCACTCTTGTTTGAGGACCTGGGGGAAGCTAGATTCATGCTCTCCTCGGGTTCAACAGCACTCCACACACACCTGCACCAACACCAGGTTCAATTTCCCGACATACGCCCGCTCCCTTCTGAGCGACATCTCATCCGATGCGACTTTGACCGTCTCCCCAACGATGAAGTTGCGGATGCCTGTAGGAAGGTGTTAGTGAAAAGAACCGAGTCCGCCGAAGCGCGCTTCGGCACACGCACCCTGTCGCTGGCCGTCCGGCAACGCCCTCCACCGCGTGGTGATCAGCCGCTCGAGGATCTGCAGCCCGATGTACTTGGACTGCGGGAACGTCGCGCTCTCCAGGATCTCGGGAACACGCGTCCACGATTCGGGGTTCTCCTCGAACTGCGTGAGGACGAGTTGCGCAGATTGGCGCTGGGGGGAAGAGGGGTGTCAGCGTGTGCGCTTCGATGCCGTGGGGGTGAAGGCGGGTATGGGGAGGGACAGGAGGGAGAGAGAACGCACATCCCGACCGCTCCCGGTGTAGAACGCCATCGCGACCTTGTCCATCAGCGAGACATCGAAGGGGCGGTTGAAGTCAAGTAGCGCCTGCATGTGTGCGAATCAGCCGCCAATCGGAAGCGGGAAGGGACGGTGAAGGGATGCGGAGAGATGGGCAGACGCACCTCCATTGCTGTTACTTGTGTCGTGACGGACAACGTGGGCTGTTAAACGCGTGTTTTAGTATCCCCAACTGGTGTGCGTTGGTCCGCGCTTCAGTGTCGAGGGCGTAAGCTCGGAGGAAAGAGGCGGCGACGAAAAGGCCAGCTGTGATCGCGTCCAATCGACGGTTGTCCCTCTTGAGCGCGAGGAAAGATGGACAGACAGAGTGGCAATGCACACAAGCTCGGCACCACGATCAGGAAGGGCAAGAAGAACAATGATGATCACGTCGCTTTGACCCTGTTTGGCAACATCAGGACCTGCTCAATTTTTGTTGTGCGACTGCAAGTTAAGTTTCCAATAATAATTTCAGACTCCCACATGCAACTCAGCAAGAAAAACCTGCTATGTATACTCGCTTGAAATCGAAGATATCGAAGCAGGAACAACTCAAACTATATCATGGAGCAATTCGAAAGAAGCGCTTCGGGTTAAAAATTCGAGAGAAGAACTCTGATCGATTATTCTTCAATAACTACATGATGAGATATTGCGAGCTCTTAGTTTGTGAGGACGTTGCTAGTCAATACATCGAGGGCAGCCATCTGACCCCAGGCTGTGAATCCCTGCGGCGGGCCCGCCCAGCTGGACGAATAAGTATTTCCGGTGGCCGCGAGATCCAGGAGCGCATTATACTGAACAGAATTCAGCATCTCGATCTCGTCGATGACAAACGCCAGAACCAACCTGGACATCGCCGTAGCTGTGGATCAGGGTCGTGAGGGGGGCATTGCCTGGGTTGCGCAGCCAGGCCTCAGCGAGACCGCGGATCAGCACGCTCTTGAATCCAGCATTGTCGTTGTCCGAGGAAGGGTTGGCGCCCTCGGTGATGACCCCGTTACTCCCTTGCCACGCGTTCGTCTTGACCGCCGAGTTCAAGAGGTTGATCATCCTTGAAAAATACAGCAGATCAGTTTCTGTTTCTCGCGTAGCTGGCACCAGAAGCCCCCTACAAGTTGGTCCACGTCGAGTCCTTGGTAACAGCGCCGAGCACACTAAGACCTTCGATGTACTTGCCCGTGTTGTAGGTGAAAATCCAGTTCGGAGATCGGCTGCAGTCTCTGGCGCTCATGCCGTCAAGAACAAGCTGATTCGAGTTGATCATCTGGGTTTTGATCCTAGAGCGCTGGTTCGAAAAAAAAGGCGGTAACTTGGACATGAAATGAACTCACCACGTGGCACTTTGAACTGCAGCGTTGGTGTACATGGAATTGCCGGTGGCCTCGGCCAGGAAAGCAGAAAGCCTGTTGAGATCGTTATTTCACCTAGATTGCGACGATCAGAATTAACCGCACGTTACAAAAAGCCTGGAGTCAAAAAACAGGGTCATCAATACATCAATTCAAAAAGGCATCGAGAGATCACCGACCCAGTGGTAATGGAGTTGATTCCAGAGTCGTCAATCGTGGGGCGCTGGTTTGTGATTAGATATTGTGGTGCTCAAACAATCGAGACGTACCCAGAAAACTGCGCCAGCCATAGTGACTGAATGACATCGCTAAGCAATTTTCGAACACTCGCCCCGGGGACCAACTCACCGCCATTACAAGCCGATTGGATGGGGAAGTTTTTGTTGGGCTGTGTTCCTCCTCCTTGAACGACGCTGAACGAGCCATCAGTCAGGTGGTGTGCCGTTCAGTGCCATTGAACACTGACAACTGCCGCACATGATTCCAGACAGTAACCGCGTGCGAAAGCATCGTCGCATCCTGAATGACCTTGAGATCCCAGCCTCGGGAGAATTTGAAGACAGACAACGCACCCCGTACGCCCGGTGTGCGTAGATCGCCGCCGTGGCCCACCACCTTTTTCGGGATTAGCATCGTCCATATCATCATCGTTCACCCAGAACTCACATTGCGTCATCATTAAACTTGTCGCACACCCATCAGCACAGCATTCGCGCGCGACACATCACTCAACCACTCACCCTGCACAGTCCCAATCAGAACGCTCCATCCAGGCTCGGGAGAATTACACGACACACGAACGCACCCAAACTGATCGTAGTTGCTGAACCGGTTGAAGACAAGATTCAAGTTGTTCAGCACGAGGGCCTTGTTCACCGTGCTCTTCGCGAGGTAGTCCTGGTTCGCCATGACAGACCACACATTCCCGGACTGCCAGTACCCGATTCCTGTCCAGTCGCTATGGGTCCCCAACCACCACCCAAATTGATGTAGAGAACACACCAGCGAACTCTCCCGTCGACGCGTCGAGAACGGTCGTCATCTGGTTGATCGCGGCCTGGGCGATCTGGATGCGCTCTGACAGCCCGCGGCTGTTGCTGAATTTCTGGAAACCCAGAGATGTTGGTACATACAGTCAGAGATGCATATCAGACGAATAAACTCACCCGCCACGAGAGCGGGACACCCAAGTCCTGCGCGGCGACAGACACAACTGCGGCTCCAGAAAGCGAGAACAAAAGAACGTGCCGAAGAAACATTGAGAGTGAGTGAGTGAGTGGGATGGAATCGAATGGACGTGTGACCTGAGCGTGGAGCGTGTTTTATACTCGAGGCATCTTCTGACTACACTCACTCGCACGCGGCATCTCCCTGTTTCAGGTTTCTATTGCAGGGTCTCATTCGTCCGCCGCGGGTGACGACACAGTGGGCGAGGCGAGCCCGGCTGGGTAGGATCGGCGGCGGCGGCGCTGCAACGATCAAACTGGGTAACGCATGCAAGGATTTCACAGTGTTCACCCCATGGAGACTCTCCGCATTCGTTCACGTCAGAGCGAGAAAAACAGACTCCTGCACGCGCTCAGTGGAGTGATCATGATGCTTGCAGTACTGTGCAATTGAGCAATTTAGCGTCCTGCTTTGTCTCATCCCGACCCTCGAACGCCCCTCGCGCGTAGTACCAAGTACTTACACGCCAGTGCGCATCAGAGATTTCGCTGCGCGGTTGGTAGGATGAAGTATCATATATCAGGGCCCAGGCACGATATTTGGGGAGGCGCGAGTCGGGACGCGGTGCGCACCGCCATCTGATCATAATCACCCGGCATCCATGACAACTGTATTCATAATTCACGCGCCAGTGCTGTCTGCATAGTCGATTGTCTGTGAGGGCACTACGGCCCACGGGTTGGTTCAGGAAGTCAGACGTCAGCGGGTGCAAAAAAAATGATTCATGAACCACGGCTTCTAGATCTCAATCGCTTGCTAAATGAATCACAAGCTCAGTCCTTCTTTGAACTGGAAATGATTGAGCTCTAGAATACTTAAGACCTGACGTTTGAACATACCCATGGCAAATCACCCGGGCCATACTTCCTCGGTGGGCGCTCCCAAGCAGATATCTCCTCGAGCTCTTGCTGTGTTTGCATCGGAATGACGACCCCGAGCTCAAAGTTGTTGATCTACGCGCAGTTGGAACACCGCGTCCACGGAACAAATGATGCACACACGTTGAGAACAGGCAAGTTCGATGTGCCCGATAAATTCCCCCAGGCCGCGGAGGTGAAATTATGCGAGCCCAGATATACCCATCCGCTGGCGCTGGGCCGCACGCCATCCGATCCGATCTCAGCCAGAATCATCTGCACATGGATAAATCATCCATCCCCGACACACGTTTACACCGACTTGCCTTGGTGTGCATAAGGACGCGACCGCCTCTGCTCCTCGAGTCCCGGAAAGCCTCCCTCGGGAAATTCCTCGCTTTCCATTTCTTGCGCGTGCAGAACATGGACGTCGCACCGCGCCTCTCGGCGTCGTTGACCGTCTGCTGGGTCGGAAACACGACGCTGATGCCAGCTGGATAGGCGAGCTTCTTCCTTTGCGGCTCAGGAATGCCGAGATGAGATGTGAGGGCGCTCGGGTCCCCGCACGCGGAGGTGTAGAATTGGTTGAACCACTGGGTGGTGTACACGCCGATGCTCGAGCCCTGCCAGAGAGGCCCTCAATTGTATCCTAGCGCTATTGAGACGGCCCACCTGGCATTCAAGCTTGAGCTGGGCATTCGTGGGGATCGTCAATCCTAGAGACTGCACGGCATGCATCAGTCGAGGATGTCCATTTCTGGGCTAAAAGTCAGAATGTATAGCATGTATAGCAAGGGGCAGACTCTTTGATTGTCTTCCAGTCTTGCCATTTGCCGATAAAGCTGGGAACAAGCTCTGCTTTGACCTGATTCCAGTCCCACATAGTCGAGATGTCCGAAACATCCTTGATCGGGAGATCCATCTAGTGAGGGCCGATCGTCAGAAATGAGAGCGCTGTAGACTGGGACGGATGCGGACCGATTTGCTCAGGAATTCTAACCCGGCCCCAGCATTGGTCTTCAACAGCACAGTCTGAAGAATTGTTGCGAATCCGTTCCCTTTGGAAGTGGAAGAACGCCCAGGAGACACAGGGAAAACGTCCTGGATGAACACAGCCTGGGGGTAAAGAAGTCAGGACAACGCAGCAAGTACTCTCAAAGCGCACGTACATTCTCAAGGTCACTCCAATCAATCGGCAGCAGATTCGCGGTGCTCACGACGACACGCAAACGACCCGATTCGTACACGAGCACCATATACTACACGGCATCGCAATCAGCGTCCACTGCTACTGCTCCAAACGCCACGCGCCGAACAAGCCAGACGCACAACACACACCTTCATATGGAAGCACCCGCCGAACCCGACCTCCGGACACGTCCGCACCCAGCTCCCCAGCGGCGCCCGCAGCCTCTCTACCACCGGCCCACCACCGGCCTTCGCACTCGCACGCGCCTCCCGGCCCGCCGGCGACACGGCCACCACCGGCGTCCCGCGCGCGAAATGCGCGCCGAGCCAGGCCGGGTCGTACCCGAACGACGCGACGATCGCGAGCTGCAGCTCCGCCGGCGGCCCGAGGACGTCCGCGAGGCGCACGGCGTCGCGCCCGTCCGCACGGGGCGAGCCGTGCGTCGTGTGCGTGGGCAGGATCGCGCCGCGGGGGAACGTGCGCGAGGAGAGCGGCGGGAGGGTGCGGGAGCGCTTTGGGGGAGCGGAGTCGTTGGTGTGCGCGAGGCGCCGCTTCTGCCGAGGCGGGCTGAGACGTGCGGATTCGAGCTGGGAGGATGGTGGAAGAACGGCTGGTGTTTGGGCGATGCCAGGGACGGGGCTTCCTTGGATGGCGGGGCTCGGCGGGGGCGAGTCGTCCTCAATGAGGATGGGCCTCTGCGACGATCCAAAGGGTGAATCTGCTGAAGCTGGAGCTTTCGGCTTCGGTAGAGCACTTGTTGCAGAGCTGTCGTCGTGGATTTCGAGCGCCTCCGACTCGCCCTCTTGACCGTTGGCCACCGATCCCAGCCAGGTTTCATCCAGAGGCAATGGCATGGAGAGTGCAGCGATTGATCGAGACTTGTGTGGAGGAGGCGGAAGAGAAGAGGCCCTAGCGGCGCGATCACCTGACTGCGACGCGTAAATTTCGAAGCCACTCATGCTTCTGGTCTTATGTAACAGCGACACAACCTCGCTGATCCAAATTTGGAACGTTGTCGAACGACGCGCCTGGGCTTTCCAGCCAGGACACTGCGGAGTATACGTATCTCGAGAGATATCAACGGGAGGAGCCGCATGCCGGATTCGGGACCGAACCCGCTGCGATCAAAACATCAATTCTGGTGATAGTGGTGACTCTGAGTCTTGCGGAGAGCCACTCTCTGCTCCAACTCAGATGCGTGCACGCATCATCATCCTCCTTCTGCAGGCGGCCCTCCTGCAATTTGTCTCCGCCGAGACACAAGCCCCGTTCCGCATCGGAGCACTCGAGCAGAACCGGTGGAGGCTGGACCACGTGCCCCACCTCAACGACACATCCAATTTCATCTTCGAGACGGTCAATTCTCTGCTGCAGCATTGGCCGAACACGCGCTATCGCAATGGTGCGTGACTCTCAATACTCTCCGATGTTATCTGCCCCCCGAATCGTTAATCTCGCGGCAGGCCACACGATAGTGCCTGGAACCATTCCCGTCGGGACGCTTCTATACCACGGCCGGCGCTTTCCAGACGTGCCCAAATATCCCGACTGGACATCGCTCGACCCCGAACACTCTTACCACTTCTGCGGCAGCGACTTTCCGCAGCCCAGAGACTCGGAAGAAGAGGAATACCGTGAAGCTCAGACCGGGTGCTGGCATCTGACGTTTTCCGCGACGCGGCCGCTGCGCGTCTTGTATTTCGACGGCTCCAGCGCGGCAAATATGATCACGGGCACCCTGGACTCGCAGGATCTACTCATCTGGGGTGACGCGGACCCCAAACGGTGGTTGGATGAGGGACAGAGGATCTCTGGGCTTTGTAAATGGGGCAAGGAATTCGGCATCGACGGATTTGTCAGGTGCGTTGCCCCACACGCCCCGAAAACTCGAATTGACAAATTCTAAGAATGGAGATGGATTTGTGCGTTGAATAATCTCAAACTCTCCACTGCCGTCTGACACAACATAGCGAAGTCATGGTCTGCGATTTCGAAAACGGCTTGAAGCTCGATTCAGCTGATTTCCTTGCTTCGTGGTACCCACGCTGGGAGCCTCCGATTTCCTCTGCGCACAGGTCCGACGTGATCGAGTCTCGCATCCATGATGATGCAGACCCCCTCATCGTGCGGCAGATCCTCGGCGCAGAAGTCCTGCGCGCTGGAATGTGGCACAACCGATACCCAGGCGACATCCGCATCCAGCTCGATCTGTCTCGCGCCGTGTCGTTCTACGACATCGACCTCGTCCCCTCCTTGGTCGCGCACAGACTCGCATCGCAAGACAGATTCGAGCACCGGCTGATCAACATCTCCGCCGCCGATCTACACGCCGTAAACCTCCGACTCCGGTCGGTGCTAGCAGAGCCACCAGCTCCAAGCGCGAGCGGCGTCGACTGGAAGGCTCTTTTCCATGTCCCTGTCGCGCGGTACTCCGATCGGCTTGAGCTGGTGTCGCATCTGCTGCAGAGCAGGGCCGAGGAGGCTCTCATACATGTCCAGCTGCGCGTGATGCTCACACCGTACATCCTGCACTCGGCTGTTCCCGACGGCGCGCACGACGGCGACGCATGGGCGGTCCCGATTTGGAAGAAATGCGCCACCCGCCACAGCGATCCGATCCGTCAGCGGGAGGATAGCCTCACACCTTCTGAGAGGACGCTCCTCGCGGCGCTCGAGGGCGTCAACCGCGAGATTTGCCGCGTTGTCGTCGGGATGTGGGCTCTCGGTGTCCACGCTGGACTCGATCCATTGATTCCTGGCGACCCTGGCGCGGATTCCATAAATCTGGTGGACTCCTGGCGCGCGTCTTTGCAGAATCTCATGTCCTGGCTCGACTGGAGCGTGTGGATCAAATGCCGGCCCGCGTGTGGCGCAGAGGTCTGTCCCCTTCATACGTCGAACATCTGTTGGGTTCGCTGGCACTGACCCGCTGTGCAGGAGCTGTGCTACTTGTCGACTTGGCCGTACTTCTGGAGCGGCTTGGAAGAGGGATCCAAACCGCCGCCGCCCGATGCGCCATATCTTCGCCCACAACCGAAGTGCATTCGGGTCGTGCAGCCCTACTCCTCATTTTCTTGAACCCTCATCATCTCCAGCGTAGACGATCCAGTGCCCGTATCACATACATGCATAGAACATCACTAGATAGATGCGCCGAGTCTCTTCACCTGTGACATCCTGCCCCCTTGATCCGTTACGCGTCCATTCGGCCTGTCTCGACGGACAGCATGCACGGACCGTGCTTGTCATCCAAGTACGACTTTGGCAGATTGAGAATGTATTTAAGCTACAGCCCGGCGAGTGATAACCCGAGTCCTGTTCTGAGCTCTCATGGAATCATCTGTGAGTCACACCTTCTGATCATGACAGACCACAGCTCACATTTCGGGCGAAAAAGACATCGGAAGACATGCCACAGCAGATGCTTCTCTCGATACTCCGAGACAAAACACACAGGGAGCTTCTGAGAAGTGCACCATATTTCGACGAGCAAGCCATCCTAGCGCGCTGGAACAAAGATCGTGCGGATGAATTGATGCTGATGGCGAGGAAGTTGAACAGTCACGTGGGGGTTCGGGAACAGCTCTACATCTTGTACACAAAGTATTTGGCGCTGACTGTGGAGCGGAACACACATGAATTCGTGAGTTGTGTTTTATTCAATCAATAGAATGACCGAAGCTAATGACATCACATGAGAGAGGATTGCAGAGCGCGTGGTTGGAATCCTCGAAAGGTCGATTGAAGATCACATAACACCAGACAGCAAGGCAAGTCTGCTGCATGACATGTTGTCCCGTGTTTCTGGAATCCGATCCTCATAGATGTTCGAGTCACTGCGAGTCAAAGCGGCACAAGAACAGGGGCAAGCTGAAGTTGACCTATCATTTGTGTGTAGTCTGTGGGGATTATTGGCGGGATTGGTCTTGGGCGTAGTCGTTTGTAACATTCTTATCCGATATGTCACATGGCGATTGAGTTAAGTAGGAGACAGATGCGGATATTCTCCCAGCGAAATCGATTGTGAACAGACGGCCATACCAATAAAAAAAATTGAATGTAGGTCCAGTGTGGATATACAGTATTAAACATCATAGGCATAAGCACTGAGTGGGGCTGGCCACTAGCAGATCATGTCTTAGATCAATGAAATATCCAGCGTGCATCAGCGTGCTTAAGGTGAATTTTCTCTTTCAGAAGCAGGCCTATAGGATTTAGATGGTTCGGACAGCGGAGGTCCATGTTCTTAGAGTCACTCTGGAACAACCAAAAGCGATTTCTACCATTTGAATGATTTTGAATGCCTTTAAACACAATTCAGTCTTGTGCTAGCAGCAGAAAAGCAGAGTTCAAACCATAAGGGGCAAGAATCGGAAGCGATCTTGAGGCCTTGATTACTCGAGTGCGAGGCTGTTTGATGCGGACCGCCAATCGAGTTATCTAATCTAATCAGATCATCCTACTTCATCTTCATGTGATCACTGCTCCCCAAGCTTCAGCTGCCACGACCGAGCCAGATACGACACGACACTCTCACACACGAAACATGGTCTCCTCATTCTCCGACCCGTCTTTCGAAATCCGCCCCGCCGCATCCGCCCACCGCGTCTCCGGCTCAGGCACCAAGCTGCAGCTGCGCGCGCAGCCCGAAACAGACTGGTGGCGCGTCCCCCCAACCTCGGCCGCGCCCGAGATCGACAGCCGCACGGGTGCGTTCTTCGCGACGCCCGTCGACGCGCAGAAAGACTTCGCCGCTGGCGTCTGGATCCGCGGCGCGTGGGACGGCCAGTTCGACCAGGGCTGCCTGATGCTCCTCGCGGGCAGCTCCGACGACGTCCAGGGCGACTGGATCAAGGCGGGGGTCGAGGTCGAGGACGGGCACGAGTTCATTGGGTGCGCATGCCCCACTGCTCTCATTCACGCTGGAGAATCCGCGGCTGATGCTTCACAAGTGCCGTCGTGACGTCGCCGTTCTCCGACTGGGCCATCGCGCCCGCCGCACACTCTACGTCGACATCCGGGGACTCGCCGTACGCGGTGTACATCAAGATGGTGCGGGAGGGGCCCCTGGTCACGCTCAGCCAGTATCTCTCGCCGACGGGCGCCTCGCCAAGCCCGCCCGCTGCGTCGCACCTGACCAAATTCAGAGAGATCCGCGGATTCAATCTCGATGCCCAGGGCAGAAGCAAGGCGAGTGTGGGAGACAAGTGGCGCGTCGGCGTGATGGTTTGCGGGCCGAAGAACAAGGAGGGGACGGTTGCACAGTTTGAGTATTTCTCGGTTGACTGTCTGTGATGATTTCTGGTGGGCGAGTTTGCTCGAAAAGCGTTCGATACTCCTTGGTCGTGTCTCCTACTTGTGCGAAACAAACTGTTGATGGCATCATTTATTTGTTGTCCACGGCGATTCACTTTCTTGCTCTTCCGACAAGCGTCACTGCATTACTCGAAGCTTCAGCTACAATTACAACAACCATATTACAACAAAAATCTGCTACATCCTCCCAAAGCGGCCGCCTGACCGCTTCGTGGCTTCATACACATAGAATGTGCGCACGTGCGTGAGCTCCGTGCGCGAATACGGCGGGGCGATGCTCGACACGACAGAGCCCAGGCGGTCGCGGCCCTGCACCCGCGACGCGCGTCTGCCTCCCGTTCCCATGATGGGGCGCTCCATGACGGTACTGGCGCTGCTCAGCACGCTCATGCGCTGCGTGGGCGTCGGCGAGCGCGCCTGCGAGTAGCGCGAGTAGAGGTCGCTTTGGTACTCGCGCATCGCGTCGAGCGCCTCGCTGGCCACGGAGCTCAGCGAGAAGACGGAGTCATGGATGCTGTTGGCGTCGGAGGACGACGTGTCGGAGGACGGGCCCTCTGGCGGCGGATTGAATCGCTCGCGAAGGAAACTGAGCGTTTGTGAGTCATTTTGTTGCCGCTTCGAACTCAAGAAGCTTACTTTTGATAATCCCACAGCGCCTCTTGCGCGGCATCGCTTTGCGTTTGGCCTTCGCCTATCTCCGCGATCTCAGCCGCATATTCTGTCAGGGCGGTCTTGCACGAGAGCAGTACGCGCTGGTGCTTCGACACATGGCTCTCCAGCTCAGGCTGGGGCATCGGGATGAACGTCGATGGCCAGAGGATCAACCCGGGCGAAGTCGCCAGTGGGTCGTCATCTGTCGGCAGCTGCTGTTCCGGCGGCGCCAGCGTCAAGTGCATCGCCGTGATCTCTTTCACGCCACCGAACGCGCGCACCAGCATCTCAAAGACGAACTCGTTCGGCCGCAGGTGGATCCCGTATTTGAGGTTCATCATGCTCTCGAACAGGCTTTCGAGCTCGCGCGCGCTGGCCGCTTGCTCGTGCCAGACCTCGGGGTCCACGTGTGACTCGGTGGGGGTGCTCGTCTCCTCCTCCTGCTCCTCCTCGACGTTGTAGATCTCGCTGTCGCCATCGCCGCCAGCCACGACGTCGGCCAGGCTGAGACGCGAGAACGCGGTGGACGGGATGCTCGTGTCGAGCTGTGGCGCATCGAGCACTGCAGGTTTTCCGTATGGAAAGAACATCTGGTCGTCGATGAACTCGAGTCGTCCCCCAACACTCAGCACCCGCCAGACTTGGTTCAGCACGAAGTCCCATCGCTCGTGCGGGATACACAGCGCCAGATTAGCCATCCGGACGAGCTGGAACGTCCCGTCGGGGAAAGGGAGGGCTTGCTTGATGCTGTTGTATCATTATGGTTAGCGTTGGAACCAAGTGTGCGTGCTACACGCACAAGTTCCCCTTCACGAATCTCATGTTGCTCGTCAGTCCCTGCCGTTGTGCAAGAGGCCACAAAGCTTTGGTCGTATCGGTCATGTCAAAGCCGACAATTTGCGTCCCCGCTGATCGCCAGGCGGCGGCCGCATCGAGCATCCAATGGCCCGCGCCGCATCCAAGATCGAGCACCTGCATTGGCGGCTGGTCGCCGTAGTTGTGGAAGGAAGGAGTATTGGTGCTGTTGATCTTTCGCAAAAGTTCGAATGTTTGGCGGTCCCTGCAGGTGACAAGTGAGTAACATACAGCAAGCTTCTGTGTTCCGGCAACTTACGCCTCAATCAGGGCGGCGTCGTAGGAATCTAGCGGATACGAGCCGATCCTGGTCATAATCGGCATCATCGACTCAGGACTGCCGTGCGTCTCCCCCAGGGACGGCCGACGAACGCTGGGGATCGGCGTAGTAACTTCGCGGTCCAGTGATTCGGGTGACGGCAGACTAGGCACCACCGAGCTCTTCTTGCGGCTCAGCTCTATTCCCAGCAGCCCAGGCCGCTCGCCATTCCCGTCCTTCCTCCTCCGGAACCGTATCGGCGTCGAAGACTTGGGGTGCGCGCGTGTCCGCGCGCCGGGAAAGTAGAACGGCTCCGCGCTCTGGCTTGACGCAGCGGTCGGCGAGACCATGCGTCCCGACGCCTGGGGCGTGGGGGCGCTTCGGACGCTTGCCGCTGCCGTCGGAGACACTGGTTGCGGCGGCAGCGGTGTTTCGGGCACCGCCGCGATCTCTACAGGAGCGACCTTGGCACTTTTCCTGCGCCCACGAAATCGGAAGCCCGAAATGCCGGGACTCGATGTAGTGCTGGGCCTCATGCGGGACCTTGAAGATGGGAAGACGAAGGCTGGCGCTGAAGTGGCAACTCGGCTGCTGCTGCTGGACGCAACTGCCGCTGGGGGATCCGAGTTTCCTGAAGAGGAACCGGAGGAGGAAATCGACTGCCGCGAATGCATCGCCGGATCCCTCGGGCTTCATATGTGATTGCGCCGGATGACTGGGAGACATGTTGAGGAAAGGAAGACTGGGGGAGGACTGCAAATGAGGTAGACGGGGAGGAGAACGAACTGGACTGCGGGGTCGGATACTGGTTGGCTGGATCAAGCGAATAGTCCGCCGCCACCATTCTGGGCGGCGGTGTATGGTTTGGGTCCAGTGGCAGTGCCCCAGGCACCTGGTGGAAACGAGATGGGAGGAGCAGAGTCGAAGAATGTGGAGGAGGAGAATAGTACGGCGGTTGAGGCATTTCGGCAGGGTGAGCGAATCTAGCGTTGGACCAGGAGGGTTCACTAGTCTGGAGGGAAAGCGACGACGATGAGGCTGGGTATGGATAAGGGTATGCGGTGTCCGTCGACGACTGCCTCGCTCGCTCGGAGTAGTTGGGAGGATCTGAGAGCGCTTCAGCAGTTTTGGAATCAGATAGCGCAGCCCATCCGGTCTGAACAGCAGGTGCATTCGGATACGGTGGCAGTGCCCGTGGGCGTGCACCAGAAGTAGACTGCTGGGTCACCGAACTCGTCGATGCAAAGTGCTCATGATAAGACGGGACCGGTGTCGAGTCACGATTTGGGTTCGTCGCGCGGAATGGGAGGATCTTTCCTCTCGGGGCTCTCTGCTGGGAATCGTCAGACGGCGCATGGTACGGGATGACGTCGCCAGGAACGTCGTATCCCGAGGGTCGTCGACTCGGTGGGAGCCATTGCGCGACCTGGTCACGTGCAGGCATGGGTACGAGAAAGCCTAGGGGCCCTGTCCTTGCAGGCATGCTCAGGAACGACAAGGATGAGGAGGATGGGGCGGGGGATGAGCTGGAACGGCTTCGTATCGATGGGGCAGGCGTGGGAGGGTGCACAGGCCGAGCTGAGCTCGCGAGCTCGTCGGGGTGCGCTTCAGACGAGTCTACGGCCGTCTCGAGAAGTGGTGCCAAGGACGGCTGGGCAGCTATCTGTGGCGGTCGCAGCCTTTTACGCCCTGAGGCAGCTCTACTTGACATTATCTATTCCGTATCAATTCCCCCAGTCACGCTTAGTCTATTGTTGGCACTCACAGCCTTCCCGCTGTGTAACAGCAGCTACGCACACACGCGACGCGAGGGTGTGTGATGCTGGACGACGTGTTGCGGGAGGGGGAGAACAGAGGACTCTATGGCGAAGTGCGACGCGCGAGGATTATATCCGACAGGTGCAAGATCCAGTCCCATTCCCTTTCCCACAGGGCATGGGCCTGCGATCCGACTCGCTTCCGACAGCGGCCCCATGGCTTGTCGCCCAGAAAGTCGACGAGCGATAACTAGCACCAGAACTTCCAGCATGTGGCTGAGCTGTGCGCCGATCAAGTCAAGACGCTCGTAGAAGCATCAGACGGCGCCCTTCCAACTATGTTCTCGATGTCGAATATGTCAGGCATCAGCAAACTTTATGCATTTAACAATTCTCGATAGATTGTGGCTTCTGCAACTAAGAACCGACAGCAGAACCGACGCCCTGCTTTGCCCTTTGCCTGCGTGTCTAGCCGGAGGCCGCCCGCCGTGACAATTCACGCTGACGAAAACATTCGCACTGTCATTTCTGCGAAGGGTGTGCATATTCTATCGGACTCTGCGAAGTGCCGGGAGATATGCTAAAGAGAGAACAAGAGTACGAAACAGCCAGACGGCCTGATCCGGTGCCTATCTCCAGTGCTCATGTCAGTCACTGCAGTACGTCTTGCCAGGCCTTGCCGATCCATGGCGGTGGCTTGACTTGCGTTGCGTTGCGTAAGGCTGGAGCCAGATTGGCATCGCTTTTTTAGCAACGCTGTGGCCGACTTTGGCTCAGGCTCAGGCTGCTGGAAAAGAAGCCGATGGCTATCTGCCCTTGACTTGCAGCAGCTCAAGACTCTATGTATGCAGATATCCGACGAGACAGGACACCGACAACTGACTTGGACGCCGGGCCACCATCACGGTCCATGATAGATGCAGCAACGCCTGTACGCCGGGTCTTCTGCTGTCCATCCACACAGCAGCTTATTTGACGCATCGGAGGAACGTCTCAACGATTTCCGTACGTAGAATAGACGGAGGCGTGGACCAGGCCGTGATATCAGCGGCCAGAACTGCGCAGATAGGCCCGGCTTAGCGCAGATGGGACGTATTCGAGGGTTTGGCGAGGGCTTCAGGGACGTAGAAGGGCGTTGGCTTCCTGTTCATATCCCCCAGTCGCGCAAGGCAGGATAGTCCGGATCCTCGGATTGGCTAGCGGGTGGCTCCTCGGTGCCCCAGCGACGCTCGTAGTCGTTCCACGGCAATGAATAGCAGCAGCTTCACGGGCGAGATCCAAACTCGGCAAATACGTAGCGAGCGCGGTACGGGTCTTATGTGCGTTGACGGGCAGTTGACCGACCGTCCCTGTTAGCGATCCCACGGCGTGTGAACGATCTCATGGCACATGATGCGTCCGTCGAGCGATAGCACTTCCCAAAGCAGCTGCGGTATAGAAGCGCACGGACGAAGGGAGGGTTGGAAGGGGCGAGCGGTGTCATACACAGGTACTGCCCCAGAACGGGCCAGGGCCAATGATTGCGCGCCGTGAAATGCCACCTTGACGCGTCACTTGACGATACGCCACAAGTTGGCGACTTGAGGTTCCCAGAAAAGCTCACGGTAGAGCAGTGCCCGCTCGTCGCTCTGGATCTAATTCGAATGAAAGGATGGGGATGGAGGAAACCACTGTCGCTGACGCGCACCGCATCATTTTTTTTTCTGATCCGAGTTTCTTTCTATTCAAGTCTCAAACCTGCACAAAACTTGCATCATCCACATGCCTGCTCATGACGATGAACCAGACTACTGTGTCAGATCCAATGCACAGTGCTCATCGGTATCACGTTCTAGCTCCAGTCGCTCTTGAAGTCGAGGTGACAGGGTCATACTGGCATACACCTGGATGCCCAACATTCCGATCCATGGGCCATATGACATCTCGCGAGTCCCATCTTTGACGAGCAGCGCACACTCTTCTCGAACCATCAAGTTCCCAGGCTGATTGAAGTCCTACACACCTCATGCTGCGTACGTGTCCTCCAATACAGCCCGAGCTTATTAGTGGAAACGCGCGCTAGGCGAACATGCTAACTGACGCTTGCTTAGGCCATGGGACAACGCGAGGGAGCCTCCGCAGCGGCAGCGCACCAGTCCGGCGTTCGCGAAGGATCTCGAACCGTGACATCTACTGATGGGTGTGAAAGCTCCCTTGCTTGTTCGGGTATCTTTCCGCGGCCCTGTTAAGCAGCAGGACGCGATGCTACAAGATCGACCTCCCGCACGTCTCACATCCTTTCTTCCCCCATCTTCTCTTCGTCCATCCCCCCTTGACAATGGCGGCCAACATCTCTTACGATGCGTGTGAGTAGTAGTAGCAGCAGTAGTAGTATGCGTATCGACTGGCACCCGCTCACACCTGGTGGCTTTCGCGTCTGCAGCAGGGGACCTGGTTTACGCCCAAGATGCGAACACGACATTCGTTTACAACATGGGGGACATCGCATGGGTGCTTGCCTCTACTGCGCTCGTGTGGATCATGGTACCGGGTGTCGGGTTTTTCTATTCGGGTCTCCTGCGGTGCGTCTTTAGCGCACGTTTCAGCGGTCGCGTCTGATGCAGGCTTGCCGCAGACGCAAGAACGCGCTGTCGATGATCTATCTCAGCATGATGACGATCGCGGTCGTCTCGTTCCAGTGGTGGCTCTGGGGATTCTCGCTCACGTTCAGTGAGGGCGCGAATATGTTCATCGGAGACTTGAGTGAGTCCGCCCCCGCGTCCGTCGTTTTCGGCACTCTGGCTGACCGGTGCAGAACACTTTGCGCTGCGGGATGTGCTCGAAAAGCCCTCGATCGGCAGCACCAAGATACCCTCGATCGTTTTCTGTGTGTACCAGCTCATGTTTGCTGCAATTACGTATGTGGATTCTTTCGCTGCCCACGTTCGAGTCATGTAACACCCCCCAGACCAATGCTCGCCGTGGGCGGCTTCGCCGAACGAGCTCACCTGGGCCCACTCCTCTTTTTCGTTTTCGCATGGGCCACGCTCGTCTACGATCCCATCGCATGCTGGACATGGAACTCCAACGGCTGGTCATTCAAGCATGGATCGTACGACTTTGCCGGCGGCACCCCAGTGCACATATCCTCCGGAACGGCCGCCCTCGCGATCTCGGTCTACCTCGGCAAGCGTCGGGGCTACGGCACCGAGGCGCTAGCGTACAAGCCCCACAACACGACCTATGTCATCCTCGGCACGATCTTCCTGTGGTTTGGCTGGTTTGGGTTCAACGGGGGCAGCGCGTTGTCGGCGAATCTGCGCGCGGCCAGTGCGTGTATTGTGACCAACTTGGCAGCCAGTGTCGGCGGATTGACGTGGATGGCCTGGGACTACCGTATCGAGAAGAAGTGGTCTGCGGTCGGTTTCTGCTCCGGTGCTATTGCCGGCTTGGTGGCCATCACGCCCGGCTCTGGCTTCGTTGGCTCTCGTGAGTGATCGAGTCACTAGGGCGCCGTCCCAATGCTCACTGCCTGCAGCGGCCTCTGTTCTGTTTGGCTTCATGGCCGGCACACTATGCAACTTTGCGACCCAGATCAAGTTCTTCGCTGGATACGACGACTCGCTCGATGTGTTCGCCTCGCACGCTGTTGGCGGTGTCGTGGGAAACATCCTCACGGCGTTCTTTGCGCAGAAGAGCGTGGCGCATTACGACGGGTTCACGGACATTCCCGGTGGATGGCTCGACAGGCACTATGTCCAGCTCGCATGGCACGTCGCCGACTCTGCAGCCGGTTTGGGATACTCCTTCGTCATGACGGTAAGCACCTCCTCCGCTGCCCGGCTGCTTGGCACATATAGCTAACGACACTCCAGACGGCGATCCTGTGGGTGATGCACTACATACCAGGCCTGCGACTGCGCGTCTCCGAAGAAACGGAGGTCCTCGGCATCGACGAGTCCGACATGGGCGAGTTTGCGTACGATTACGTCGGAATGGAGTCAGATACGCACCCTCTCATCGGCACACGGGGCGCAGCAACGGCGATGAACATGGACCCGAATGCAGAGAACCATTATTTGAAAGAGCGGGGCAGTAACGCCAGCCATGCGCAGCGAAATGCGTTCCCTCTGTAACAGAGTCGCGGGGTCATTGATAGGTCAACGCACACCACTAGTCCAGTCAAGTATTTTGGCAAATGTTTTCTTGGGAGAGCTCAGGAGACTCTGTAAATTATTGAATATTTTGCGCACCATGGATGCGCGACGTAAAGTAGTTCGCGTGCTGAGATACTCTGTGACAGTCACTACTGCGGGTCTGTGTGCTACGCAGTAACGATTGTTTGCCCTCCGTGAGCAATCGATTGACTCGAACTAAACCTCCTTGACACTCAAGAGTGCGCCAACTTGAACAAGCGATCGAGTCAGCACTAGGTCCAAAGAACTCCGCTGCAACCGAGCGGAGATCGTGAGAGCCCGCAGAGGTGTCATCGGTAATACTCACGCGGCTGATCTGCCAGGTGACATCATCAGATCTTTCTACTGATACCAATCAGCAACTCGCACGCGAGCCGGAGATGAAGTGCAGGAGGATGAAAAGTTAAAATATGCTCTTTAGTCTTGCATGCATATCCATATGATCAATTCATCGAGTACATGAACTAAGAATTACGCACACCTCCCACCCCCATAACAATATTCGTGCACGTTCATTAGAGAGGGGCAGGAGAATAGAAACAGGCTATAGCCAGTTCCTGCCTTCGGTCACTGGTGAACAATAGTCCCTCGCACGCTCAAACGTGTCATGCCCGTATTCTCTCTCATTTATCAGCGCGTTGCCAACGACACAGTCGGCCTGAACATGTCGCTATCCACTCCGTTGCATCGGGTCTCAGAACTTGAAATTCCCAGCCCAAAAATACATTCTCTTTTACTTATCGTTCAGTCCGGCTACGTGTCCCGCAATCACATGCATGAAGGCATCCCAATCTTCGGAAGCTTCCGTTCTTCTCCTCACGCAGAGACTTTCTCCATGGAACGTTCCCTGGGGACCTGGCACTACTGGGCTTGGCCCGGAATAGGGGCTCGGAGGAAGCCGAAAACGTCAGGTACGAACGGAGAGTAGACGGTCCTTGCTCTGCTGAAACTTGACCCTCACCTGTGAAACCCTCCTCTGCACGTGAAACGACTCAGGAAAAACCCGCAATCCGTTCGTCCGCTGTACCTGAAGAATGGGAACTCCAGGACCCCAGATCGGAAAGAGCGCACAGCTGATCAGCACTGATCCTCGCCCATTTCCGTCAGGCGCACCTCGCTTCTGCGGTTTCTGACGCAGGTCGCAAAGCCACACAGCGTCCCGATAGACCAAGTGCATATGCACGCGCGGGTGTATTTGTAGTGGTCGACATGCCCAGCTTTTCCGGCATGTATCTCGTACCATGTGAGCCCGAGCGCGTATGCATAGTACCGGCCCCCGGCGGACGATCGAAATAAGCGCAATCTAATCGGTCAAATTTTGTTAGCGAGCCCGATGCGCATGCCCTGCTTCCACCACTTGAACATTCGCCCCGAAACGCTCCAGCGCACGAACACCTTCATTTGGAGAACAGGACTGCACCGAGACAGCGCGTCAACTGAAGCTGCGGGGGAGGCGTGATTCGGGATGGCTGCTCACCAGACATACTACTACTCGCATTCTCCGCCTGTAACGCCGACTACGGCACAAACGTCCCGGTTCCACCTCCCCTCACGCCTGCAGCAGGTGCGTTGTGCGCTTGGACCTCATTTTGCCATCTACCCCGGCATGTCGGTCTGACGGGCCTTCGCCAGGATTCAGCGCGTAGCTACCCAACCCCGCAATCAACTCCAGCGCCGTCCCTGAAAATATCTATCCATTCAGCTCCCCACAATGGCCCCCAAACTTCCGACGCAATCTCCCGCCCGCCGCGCCGGCCCAGTCCAGCCATGCAGTCGTTTCACTCAGTAGGGTCCTCCAACTCCGGAAAGTCAGATCCCGGGCCTGCCGTGTCACCAAGCACCCCGCAGTCCGCCGTTTTTGTGTATCCGTCTGGGCGGTCGCGCTTGCGCACGTCGTCCTCCACCCCCGGATTCAAATTCCTGAACCGTAAGAAGGCGAATGCGGTTGTCCCAAGCATGCCGTCGTCCCCGCCGCCGTCCAGGTCGCCACCGGTGTCTCCCACAGCCAGCATCCGCAGTGTTCCCGCCTCTGGCTCGACTGGGAGCGGCAGCGGCAGCATCCGCAGCTCGCGGTCGAGTAGCAACAACCAGAGCACACCGGAGCCTTTCGTGTTCCCCGGTGGCCGGACCCGCGCTCATCCGAAATCCTCGGCGCCTATTCGATTCAGAAAGAAGAAGGACGAGGCGGGCGGGAAGACGGGGCTTTTCGGGGTGGCGCTGGGCCGGAAGAAGACGGGGGACCCTCCGCCACCGGTGGCTGTAGTCGTCCGCAGTCCGTCGCCGGAACCGGTCTTCGCCATCGAACCGACGTCGCCGTCCGTAGAGCCAACATCGCCCACCGAGTCGGTCACCGAATCTATGTTTCCGCCTTCGCACATTGTGTCCATGGTCGGCTCGTATCCGCTGGATGCCTACGACGCTGCCCTGATTGAGACGTGAGTTGCCGCGGTCGTGGACAGAAATCAACGACACTCACTTCTCATCGCAGGGACCGCCAAACGTGTGAACTCCTACGAAGAATCAATCCCAGCAACACTCCCTCTTTCCATAACTACCAGGATCAACCACCAAATCAGGTGCTCGATCTGGGATGCGGCGCGGGGCATTGGATGCTCCACGCAGCTGCCGCCTGGCGGTCTGCCGGAACACAGATCGTCGGTTTCGACATGGCTGATACGACAAGAGCGTTGTGGCCTCTGGCGCAAAGGCAGGGACTAACAAACAACATGAGATTCGTAAAGGGAAACTTGTGGGTGCAGTACGCAGACCTTGTTCCAACGCTTACCGTGACCGTTCGACAGTATTAAACAAGCCCTCCCCTTCCCCGACGGCACGTTCCAGCTCGTCCGGATGGCTAATCTGGCGCTGTGCATTCCGCACGAGCGATGGGAGTTCGTGCTGAACCAAGTCTGGCGTGTGCTGAGTGTCGGGGGAAGACTCGAGTTCATCGACGACCAGATCCTCTTCCCGTACGGCCAGCCGGCAATCCTCACCGCCCGCCCCCCGCATCTGGACACAAACATTCCCTCGACAGCGTTCTCGCGCATGAGCCTGGCGAATGTGATGGGGCGACAAGGCGACGACGGGGACAGCATCATCTACAGTATGGACGAGGAGAGCTCCGATACGGACACCATTTCGCATGTCCCCATGGACGGCGTTTGGGACGACCAGGCCGCCGGCGCACGAGAGCTCGAGGACCTCTTCGAGAGCATGATCAACGTCAAGTTCGGTATCCACCTCCGGCCGAGCGAGTTCGTGCTCGAGAAGATAGTGCGCGCCTTCGGTGGCGTGAAGGAGGTCACGGCCATGCATTTGACGTTGGCCCCCGTGGCGGACGAGCACGACGCTGACGACGCGCTGGCCAATTCCCCGGGGCTGATCCTCTGGCCGTCGACATTCATCCCGATGACGCCTGAGGAGTTGGAGATCCACGCGTCCAAGCACCAGCGGGTGCTGCTTTCGTGCAAGGCGGGACTGATTGACTACGCGGCGGAGATTGCGGAGATCGGCGAAGGACGTACACAGAGCGACGCCGCAAAAGAAGCGCTGTGGGACTATCAAAAGTGAGTTCCCAACTATACTCGAGGTGCTGCTATACCAACGCGACCCGGACAGCTTCCTGCACGACCGCTTCAACCCACCACCACAGCTGCCAACCCCGCCCGAATTCACAGCCGTCAACGACACGGCCAGCGTGCGGGACTCGATTTGGTCCGTCGCGAGCGATGCACTGGACGCCATGCGCGAGTACCAGAGCGAGCTGAGCTCGCGCTACGAGCTGTCCTCCCAGTCGTCGCTGTCCGTCTCCCCGCGGTCGTCGGCAGGCGTCCTCCCGCATGAAGTCGATGAACAGCATCGCAGCGGGCAGCCAACGCGCGGGGCCCGTCGGATGGAGCAAAAATGGCGCGCCGCCGTCGTACGCGCGCGCGGAGCCGACGCATGTCCGGACGTTCCATGTGTACGAGGCCGTGAAGAAGTCGGACGGGCGGTTTGGGAGGATGTGACGGGTATTAGATAGTAGTGTACACTGTATGCATATGGGGCCTGGAAGGCTGTGAATTCTGTAAAACCGAAGTCGCGGGTGAAGAGAGGTGGTAGATCAAATGTCAGTTTGAAATCGTAGGGCTGCAATCGATCCGCATCAAAGCCGGCCCGGGACCGTATGTTCTCAGACGAGATACTCATCCGTGTTTACTTACCCTCTCCCGTCTAGTCATGCAGGCTGCGCTGCCGCTAGAATTGATTGAACTTATCCTCGCATACGTCGATGACTCGGGCCCGTCGCTGAATTCACTCGCTTCGTCTGCCCGTTCCTTCCGAGCCATCTGCCAGCGCCGGATCTTCCGTACGCTAGTCGTCCAGGACGCTGCTTCTGGCTTCCGCAACACCTTTGCCCGGCTGGCCTCACTTCTTGAAGTGTCTCCGAGAATCTCTTTTTGTGTGCGGAGCCTGAAGACGCCGCTCCCTAAAGTCACGTCCGAAACGCGTGCATTCTACAACATCGTGCGCGCGCTGAGAGAAGCTGGTTCGGTCATACGCTGCGTCATAACGACGAGGAGGGGATGCGACTGGTCTCCCTGCCGCGCGTCGTGCGGGATGAGATGGGTCTGTTCTTCGCGATGGGGTCGTTGGAGAAGCTGCACCTGGCCAAGATGACCAACTTCCCGGTCGCAGCTCTGGAGGAGATCGCAAACAACGTCGAAATTCTTTCGCTTAGCGAGGTCTTTCTGCACATCGAGTCGGTCGGCGAAGAAAGGAGACAGAGCAGGCTCGAGTACCTCATACTTCCCTTGGGAAGCACCGTCTATCACCATGAGCAGTTCTTCCGGACTGGTTTACGGGACGAGTTTCGAGCCTGAGGAGGCTTTCTCTGGGCGTGAATTCATCGCTGGATGACACTCACCTCGCCGTACTGGAGCCTCTAGGCGCTCAACTCGATCAATTAGAGCTTAATCTTCGAAGTGCGGTTCCACCCTCCCATGCATTCTCATCTCACACTTTGTAGCCATACGAAGCAATATCCCTTTCCCGCTATGCCTCTACTACGCACCCTGGAGGTCACATTCAATCTGGGCATATCGAGAGTCTTTCCAGAGAACATTTCCGGCATCATCTCCAGGCTTCGTGGACTTCACCGCGGCTCGAGCGGCTCGTGCTGGTTTTCCAGATCATGCCGACGATACCCGAAGTCGCTTGGGACCATGTTCTGGATGCTGCGCTGGTGCATAGCGCGACGCCAGCCCCACTAGCGTGGGTGGGCCTTGAAGCGCTGGAGCACCTGCAGGACGTTTCGTGCTGTCTGCATCTCATGGCTGATTACTTCCACGGGGACAACAGCGCGCTGTACGATGGGTTCGTCGAGTCCATAGAGAACAAGGCCCAGTGCGCTGAAGCGCAGCGGGAGGCTGGGGTTTTCGAGGAGGGCCTCGAGTTATCGATACGAAGATCATCTACCCTGATGATGATGACTCGGGAATGATAGACCTGCATGGGAGACGAGTCTTTTGTCGCCACTGGTCGTTCCTCTCTTCATGCACGACTCATGAGCTCCCGCACCCATAACGACATCAGCTTCATTTCCCCCCATCTTCTCTGGCAAACCTCATGATGAACTGGTACGCCTCGAAGGGAGCTGCGGAGAACGCCGGGAGCTGATGGAGTGGAGAGACGACTTGACAAGAGTTGAGGGACTATGCCGGTGATTTGCGAGAGTATCCCCCACTTGTACGGCTCTTTCAGACTCGTCTAGGGAAGTTTACTGTCGGACAATAAACAGAATGTTATATCAGCTAGACATAGGTGTAACATGTCCGAACTACAGGTCCGAGGTCACCGTCGCCGGTCTCCAGAAATGGCATGCCTCATACAGCTCGCTGCTGCCCGAAGACGCTTGCGTTCCATGGCGCTGCCAACGGTCAAGAAGCACCCAGAAGTCTGGGGCCCCGGAGGCGCCCGAGTGCCAGTCGGCTATCCACTCGAAGTGGCCAGCACAGACCACGACCCGACGGTCGCCCAGACCGGCACTGCATCATCAAGCTTGCTCTCCAGGTCCCAGAGCAACAGAACAACGCGCAGATCCTGGCGTAACAGCGCATCGATGGTCGCGAGCGGAGTTCGCGCGTCGATGGCGAGATGGGTTAGTGCAGGGAGACGTCGCAGCTCGGGGAGATGCGCACTCAATGACCTGCCCGCGGAGTCGTCGAGGTCAACAGGCACAAATGGGTGAGCGCCCCGAACACGGGAGAGGAAAATTCGAGTCCGGTTCCGAGAGAGGCACCAGGAGCAGCATCTTCTCGACGCGAAACCCAGCGCTCTGCATCGTGCTCAGGATATCGGGATCCCGCATACCCCGCAGACCAGGACGTTCGTCGCTCCGCTGCAGATGTGGAGCAGGGTCGCGAGCTCCTCTGCAGACCATCTATGCACCCCCCGCTGTGCGAAGAATCGCATATCCAGGGTCTGGATAGCCACATGTCGGATGGCGCGGTGGAAGAATTCGGCCCGTGCCGGATACTGCCTCAGAAGCTGGTATTTCTGGTCCGTGTCCAGGACAGGCTTGACCAGTCAATGCTCAGAGAAGAGTACAGCTTGGGTTCGATCCTGTTATGGGCGCATCCCGCCGCTCGCGTCAGTGTGCGAGGCGGGTGGGATGGTGACCCACCAGCTGTGCACTCTTGCGCGACACGCAGCAGCACGGGTATTGTGCCGGGATCTAGGTCGGCTGCGAGCTCGAAGATCCGTAGCTCCAGCTCGGGTGGAAGTGAAGGCGCGCGCGTTGGACACATGGGCTCGGATAAGGTGCAAAGTTTGGGATTCTGGCAAAGGGAAGTTGGGCGACAGTGCTAGGCTATCGTGGTTTCTCTGAGTATCGGATCCGGACATGTTGCATAGCCCTTCGCATGACAGGTACCGTCGAGTGGACTGCGGTGTGAGGCACGTGCACGTCACGG